CCACCACAAATGGCGGATTTAGTGTTGTACCATAATCATAGATAAGTCAATTTCGACATGCAAATGTATGGCTTGAATGTTGAAAGTGTTGTTACTGTGTTTTACATTTGCAAATTTGTGTAGTTTACTGTAATCAAAGTATGATTAATACTAGACTATTATTACTAAGCAACTAATGAGCCATTTTAATCAAAATTAAATATAAAGTTACTTACCAATAAATGTAACGATGGAATTGCATTATCATGTAAACTAGTTACATTCAAAGTTCTATTTAAATTTGAATGGAGCGAACAAAAGAAGATCGTATTTGATCCAATGTTAATGTTCGGCAGTCCTATAACTTCCAACCATTCTTTCTTTCTTTTTTAATTTGTAGGCAAACTTTAAAAATAATAATAATGATTTAATAAAAACCTCGTAGTGAATTGTTTCAATAACAGAATATCGATAATATTATAAGGATGGGACCGAGAGGCAATAGAAAACGCGACCATTCGGTTCGATGCAACATTTAATACTACTCATCGATTCAAGTAGATGGTTATATTATAGGTAGATACATAATAGTTATGATTAACAAGTGGCTATACTACACCACACGCCCCTTGCGAAAGAAAAAAAAAGTTAATGATACAAGATTACTTTTTTTGTATAATATAATACCTATCTAAATATATGTATTATCTTTAAATCTAACGTATACAATATTATTTAAAATACATTTTAATTTGATTTTTGTGTACCAACATCTCTTTTCCTTTGTATAAAATTGATACATTGCGTTGCTTATCCTGTATTACAACGTATGGACGCGGGTACAAGCAGTCCAATTTATTGTCCATATTTCCATTTCGTAGCAAAATTTGCTCGCCTGACTTGTACATATTGTAATATTCGTCTAGGTAATATAAACTAAATGTGTTTAATTCATAGTGATGTTACAATTATATTTAATTAAAAAGTCTTGGCCAATTATTCCATCGGTCTTACATGGAATCTTTTTAAAAACATGAAACTTGTGACTTGTGTATTGGTACATTCAACACATTTACGGTTTCTTGTTTCACGGCTGACAAAGATGCTCCAGAATCTACTATCCAATGCTTCGTAATATTACCTGTTGGTAATGGCACAGAGTTGCTAAACTCGCAAGTCAATGTATAATTATTAGGGTCGAAAAAATTGTAATTCGTTGATGTTACCTTGATCGTTATTTTGTTGTGTTCTGTGTGTCATTTTGGTCAAATCATCGTACATGATGTTTACGGGTATTTCCACGACGGTTACGAAATGATATTAATGAGGAATGATGTGTGCCCTTTATCTTCGAACTGTGTAGTTCAATTGAGTTAATCAATTTTTTGTAACTTCTTCACCTGTCAGAACCGGCAATGAGGATACAGCAGTTTTCAACTCGAATTTCTCCATAGTGCCGCTTTTATCTATATAATCTTTAGAACAAAAATCTACGATTTGATTATAGGTTTCTTCAAAGTATTGTATAGTTCTTTGTATTTCTATTAGTGTTTCTGTCTATATTTGTTTATTCTGAACTTGTTGACTAACTATTTCTGCTTCCTTGCCAAATTCCTCAAACAATAAATTTGCTTCTGACAATTTTTCATTCAATTTTTCCTTTGTTCTCTTTTCTGTAGCTAACTTTATCAAATTACTTTTAATTTTAAGCAATTTTTCATATAATTTATCTATATTAGTAGCCATAAATAGTTCTTAACTTGCATATTTATGTCTTATTTATCTAAATTAATAGTATAGTGTCATTGGTTATACGATTCATTGGGCGTAATATTGTTAAAATTATAGTTCATATATGAGCTAATAACATAGTTCACTAGTTTCGATTTATCGCATTACACTTTTTCTTCGCATTACTTTTTTTTGTTATATAAAAAATCACTCACTCACACTTCCATTTTGGGAGGATCACGTCGAAAAAATCGGGCGGGACACGTTTGACCACAAAGCAAATTCTGTAACTGTCACTGCATTCTCTTTTTCTGATATGCTGTATATTTCTTGTAGCCCACAAACAGTGCATCCAGGATGACGAGAATGACTATTATCAGCAACAGGACGTTTGTTGTCAATTGCCCACTGAAATCGCTCACCTTCGCAGAGTTGTTACCGTCTCCAACTGCGTTTTGGACTCTGATGGGGTCTTCCTTTGATTGTATCATACCCATGGTGGAGAATACTTTCAAACTTGCTGTACAATCACTTCGTTTAAATCATTTAAATACTAATTTCGTATTTAAATGAGTGAACACGTTCACATTCGCACTTTACTTGAAAAATCCTGAATGTATCCTGGCATGGTCGCCATCTAAGGATGGGACCGAGAGGCAATACATAATAGTTATGATTAACAAGTGGCTATACTACACCTCAATATGTCTGCTTACAAGAACAACACTATCTCAAAATAATCGTTATCAACAATCATCAAAATATACTAACAAACAGGCAATCTAAAGTAACCAAGGCAAAATTCGGCAAGACTTATGAATAAACTACTTGAATGAGTCTAATTACATGAGATATTTCGGCTATTGTATGATTTATAGGCAGAAAAATAACACATACGTGTAATGTAACATTCGGTTGATTTCCGCTTTTTCTACTGCCGCACCCCTTAATGCTGCAGTGACGCATTTTTATCAATACTTAGTTGTTCTCACTGTCAATATTTTTGTCCATTACAATTCATGCCAATAATTCACTAAAACATTTGGCCAAACATTTATTTTCACATTTGATATACTTTTGACAACCGGATACGGTAAAAAAAATTCCAAAAATGGCAAAACTGTCCTCAGTTGGCATTTAAGATGACATTACGTATTTTCGATTCCCGTGTTTGACATAAGTCAATGTAATGCTATCTCTTTTGGCTTACGACGGCACGTAGTAGTTAAACAAAGAGAATAAAATGTTTATGTTTTCACCGTCTAAATCAAAGTCAAAGTCAAAATCAAAGATTATTTATTCCATAGGTAAAATTAACACACATTAACACATTTTGTCTTCTTGGCATTAAGCAGTAAGTTGTTAGCATTAAATCAATAAACTACCTTAGAGAGGGTATCATTAATATGGTCATAGTTAATGTCATGTCTGTCTGTTTGATTTTTAAAAGGATGGAGGAAGGAAGGATGTGTCATCAGCAAACAACACTATTTCGCAATGGTCCTTAACAAAGAAATATAAATTAGAAATAAGAAAGGTCCAAGTATTGAGCCCTGTGGAACACCCATTTTTACCGAAGACCACAAAGAAGTGACTTCTTTCCATTTATGTCTACTTTCTGAATTCTACGGTTGAGATATGACGAGACAATTTTCGACGCCTTGCCATTTACACCGTAATGTTCCAGCTTCCTAATAAGAGTAATATGATCAACACAATCAAATGCATCATATATATGTAACGTCTGATTTATATATGTCAATATAACAATCCTTATGCAATCCTTTGGTTTCTAGTCTAAAGTTGGGGCCGACTCTAGTCTGTCTATGAATTTAAAAAAAAACTACGGTTGCGTGACATACGTGAGAAAAAGTTTTTATTTGCCGCCATTTAGTTTTGTTGTTTACATTATAAACTAAATATGCACCACTTTCGTGTAAAATGAGCGATCAAGATTGTGATCAAAATATTTCGGTGACGCCACCTGATATCCGCGACAGAGCAACTAACGTTATAAATGACTTGTTACCAGCAAAGTCAAAGAAGTACAAAAAAGTTACCAAAATTTTATGGAATGGAGAATGACCAAAAGTACGTCGTCCTTGTCTAAAAACGTACTTCTAGCGTATTTCGAAGGCTTGTCCACTAAATTAATTCTACAGCCAAGTGGACTTTTTATTCAATGCTCTAAAGTGCTAATAATAGCTCTGATCAATGCCGCAATGCGGGTCGTGACAAGCGGTTCCTGAACACATCATAGAGAACTTATAATATGTGTATAGATAAAGCAACATATGTAACTGTACATTTTTAGGCATTAAAACACTCGTGTCAAGCCCACCTCTTATTTTGATGCCTTTCATTACTACTACTGTTACTAATAAAAACTTTTCTCACGTATGTCACGCAACCGTAGTTTTTTTTAATTCATAAACCAAATAGAGTCGGCCCCAACTATCATTCAATATCAAGTAACGTGAAATTTTTCAAAATTGTTCTCTATTGACATTTCAGTTCGAATAAAACTTCATCGCGACTGATATTAGAATTGAGGTCGAATCAAATTGTTTTGTTTTTCAAAGATGTTCGAAATTTGAATGTAATAATAGAACCGAATTCGATGTTATTATGAAGCAATAATAACATTTTCACAGATAAGAAATTTGTTAGAACAAAACAGTTTTAACCTTTATGCTGGTCGTAATTTGCGGTTTTGAACGCATCATAGAGGGTTTAGGATATGTGTGTAGATAAAATATATATTAAAATTTACAAAAAATATCTACCGATAAAATTATTTAAATCCAACAAATTAATTAATTAAACTTGAGCTAAAACTACACCAATATTCTTTCCTTAAATTTGTATAATGTATCACCAAATATATCAACAGTTTCATCTTCACTTGACACTTGATTAAATAAACTAGACATGCGAATGCTTTCCTACATTCGTTCTACAGAAACGGACAGAAATAAAGTACGCGACTGGCGAGGCGGACGTGGCGGTACTCGCGAACTAAATGTATTAAGAATAGACGGGCAATCTATCATCCCGTTCATAACTTTATGTAACAAACATAAGCCCAAAGTATTTCTCTTATTGTAATGCCTTTTACCCAGTTTTACCCAGTCGAAGAAAAAGACAATGGACGGGCCTAACCCTCGACTACTATCAGGAATGCCTTCGCCAAAACTAACGCAATCCTTTATGTTGAACACCGATTTGCTTTTTATAACACTAAGTAACGGGATGAACAATTAGTGCGCCTGGTGGTAAACGACACGCCCGTCCATAACAGTTAGTTCTTGATAATGATTGGTCATAGTTTCTAAATTAAAATGATGTAGCCAACTTTGGATTGTTAATATAATTTAAACTTTATCCTGTTGGCATAACGTCGAAAGTTCAATACCTATTATTGCAAGTTACGACGTTTTGATTTTATATTGAAATTTCTTTCAATGTGGTGCCATCTAGCGGCAATAGCTGAAATGCTATGAAACAACAAACTATTAACGCCTATGAACATTGTCCAAAACAAGTCGACCACATTGCAGCGGTCTGAGGTTTGCTTTCGTTTCCAGTAAAGTAGTAGTAAAAAAATGTATTAAAATATATACAGAAAGTACAGAAAATGGAAAATTTATTTAAATACTACCATGTATTATATTATAGGTGCGACGGTCATTTTTGCGCTCCAAAGTAGCAAAACAAGGCTTTTACCACGATTTTCGAGGTTTTGCGTGAGATAATCGCCACGACCAACAAGAACGACAAGTAAAGCGAAAATGGCGGACTGGGGTGAAATGCGAAGGATTTCATAAATTTTCAATTCAAAAAGAAAAGGAAATACAAATCTGGCCATGAGTACGAGGCTCTTTTAAATTTATTTGCAAAAGGTCTGGTCAGAGGTGTAATATACATAATTATTTGAAATACACCTATTTTTATACATTTTTGTTTTAATATTAAATAAGTCAGTATTTTTTTCGCGAAATCGAAGTGACTCGGTGAAATTCGGCGATTAACTGCTTACAACACTATTATTAAAAAAATAAATAAAAAGAAAAAAATATTTGAAATGTTATTGTATTTGAATTTGAAATAGTATAGTATAATAATCTAGTTTAATTTTTTTCCTTATTTGTTTTTTTTATTTTGGCTTCAGAATCCTTGGAAATTTCGGTAGAGCACTAATTGTTTTAAACAACAGTCTAAAATTTATTATATATAAGGTAATGTTAGATGTTTACTAAACTGTTTTTTCTAAGATGGACTAAAAAGACAGTTCAACGCGTAACACAGTTGCCAGTTTACAAGCAACTAGTGATTGCAGCCGACAAATATCCTATCGTCTAAATATTATTTACGTTTTCGCAATAATGGTCAATAAATAAAACAAAACGTATAAACTGTATAATAAAAATAAGCGTCATATTTTAAGAATAAATCTACTCTGTACGTGATTTCGATTGCCGTGGCAACTTGTCAAACTATCAAAATAATATAATAAACAAAATTTCTTAAATTATAAAATTGATTTGAAATTTAAGTTAATACTGTATCAATTATAGCAATAAATTTAATACATAGTATACTCATGAATAAAACAATTTCAACAAGTCAAGATATTACAAATTACATGGCTCAGTGCTCACACTTGTCAAAAAGCCCGCCCCTGACTGATCCCGGCGCAAAGGTGCCCATCACGCCTGCCGCATTCCTCGCTGTATGGTAATGGTCAATCTCTGCGCCAAGAACAACCCGGCGCGGGAGTCATCTCAACTCTCTCTTGGCCATCGCCCGATTCCCGCTACAAACTCTTTCGCATCGCTACCCTAATAACCCGCCGTCTCAACAGCAAGCTGAACGAAAATGTAGCGACTTTCCAATCACGAAATTTGTCTCGTTTCTTGCGAGCAGCGGACTCCGCAGCTGCACCAGCTGAATTTACTGTGCCACTGAGATGCGAAACTGCAAATGTGCTAACACATGCCGTATCCCACAGGAGACACCTACCCCTTTCCCACGGTACCAGAGTCATTCCGTCGGGCCTTTTCCCATCTGACCGACTGAGGGCTGGAGGTTCCAGCACGTATCGAATATCTGCTGAACGATATGATGCCGTGGAAATTTCCCTGCGCATCGACAGCCACTTAGGGCATGATGGCCGCTGGCCTCCACCGTGGCACCACAAATGCACACATCGCAGCCCAGGCGAAGAACGACCGCCACACGAACCGAGTCGCTGTCGAGCAGAGTTCCAGATGCGGTGATGGTAGTGCATGGAGCCATGCGCCAGATTCAGGCTGAGAGACGGCTTTTAACCTGGCTACATCCCCCCCTATCCATTTATAAGCTCCTGCAGAACGCCAGAACACGTCGGACTCCTACATCATCCCAACCTCTTTGCCTATATGGATGAGCTGGTACAGGCACAGATGGGCTGCAGGTCGTCCGATTCGTCAAAGCGCCTTCCGCAAAAAATTATAAAATATCAGTGAGACCAAGGTCGAGTTGCGAACATGCGTCGACGCAAGGTAGACCGGTAAACCTACGTCTCATACGCAGCACACACCTTGCCGTCCATGTCGGATCGGCAAGGCCGCTTGGCTCCATTGTTGTGTAGTCAATGAGACTTTAAGGATTGTCTCAACAGTGTTTCAGGGAACCATCAAATTTTGAGACTTTCCCAGGACACGTCCACGCCGACGTGGACGACGTCGTCAGTTAATATTATAAATAAAAATAAATAAAATAAAAGTTAAGAGTTTTAAAATAATGACTATTTACAATTTTACGAAAAATGGTAACTTTCGATCTCGAAAAAAGTATTTTTAATGAAGAGGGGTGGACCTGCGCCTTTATTGGGATTGGTCTTGGCTTTGTACATATTTCGCTTGACCGCCATCGCGCCTGTTGGAATGAGGTCGACGATGTAGCGTGCACACAATGATGCACACCTAAATAGTGCCAATTCACTCTCGTCTTGATTAGGCCCAAATTATAGCGTTCGGGGGATAAGGCATATGGAATTTCATTCAGCCGTTCGCCATATAAATGTGGAACCTAACGTTTCGTGCAAATCTTTGGAATGTCCACAACATAAGGATAAACCCCAGCCTACGTTAAGCCCCTTGATACGCTTTTTACCTGAATCCCAGGTGGCCAATTGGCATTTAGCAGAGCCTTTCCATAGGTAGCAGTAGTTCTCCATACACGATCGGACCGGTGCTCGGTACAGCTGGAGCAATTGCCCCGGTTTTAATATATATACCGCTTGGTGCCATTTCCACTAGTTTGTTATTCCGTTGGAAAAATAGTTTCATTTCAAATGTGTGACAATCGCGAAAGGCTAAGAGCTCGATGCCACTAGCTATTGCCGACGGGCCTTTGGGGTATCGTGAATATTGCATTCAACTGGCGAATGCATCGGGAACTTTGCGCAACGAATTTATCGATCCGACCTGTTAACAGTTTAGTTGAAATCGGCCTCGAGCGCCCGCACCGCCAACGCGAATCGGATTGTCTGTTGTTCTGCATTGATCTTTATTAAATTACGTACAGAACGGATATTTATTCAAGATTTAAGTCGCCGAGAATAATGGATATTATTATTTAAAAAAATATTGAATAGGTTCTTCTCGCTCAGTGTCATGACTTGTCATGCGATCTCGAACGGCTTCCACAATTTCTATCCGCTGGACTCGTATCTGTCTCTATGTCGTATTGATATTAGTAATAACGCACGCACTCTAACTCACGAGTGAAATAAATGTAGACAATACAAATGGTTTTCCCTGCCCGAACCCGGGACACGGTAACCCTTCGTCCGCGGAGGCAGTTACTGTTGCGGGCGAGCACAAGCCGCCCGTGAATTGACCAAGAATCGCGCCCTCCGCAGCCTGACGCAGCACAGCGAGCAGAACATGATGGACGCGTGGAACCTGGCGGTGTGCGTGGGCCCCACGCTGGTGGCGGCGCGCGGCGAGGGCGGCGCGCAGGTGGCGCAGCAGAACCTCGTCAACGACCTCCTCAAGCGCCTCATCCTGCAGCACGAGGAGGTCTTCCCGCAGCACGTCGCGCCGCACACGCTCTACCGCCCGCCCAGGTACTTTCCCTTTCCTGCTTATTCTCTCATTCGAGAAACGAACAGGCGATATACAACTATTGTTGTCGAAGATATAGAGTATAAAGTAGACCCAAAGTTTTCTTCATTTATAACGCAGTAGAAATCTTAAAGACTATCAGTATAGAACAATTACAGTGAGGCTTGAGTAAGGGACTTTTAAATTTTGATAAGGAATTACGGAAAATATCCACATCCATGAACCTGCTGTTGTATGTCTGACGTGATCGCCTAATAAACCTATTGCCGACGAAACATTTCCGCGACTTCTTAATTGAGAAAAGTGCGTTCCTTCGATCTTTCAATTTGACGGGGTACTCGGAAATCTAAAAGATTCAGTAGAGGTGTCGAATCTAATTTATTATTTACTATTTTATATAAACTGACAGCGTCTATGTAATCACGACGAATCTCGAGCAATTCGATTCTATGTCTATTCACAGAATGCTCATAATCAATATAATCATGACCAGTTCCACTGTCGAGAGCCTTTCAATTTTGTCTATTGTATATCGTGACAGGAAAACCGAGTCCTGTTGCATATGCCATCGAATGTAACATTAATGGAATGGTACAAATTCCCAGCGAGTCGGATGCGCTGGACCCGTCAGAGGCGACGGAAGCGGAAGAGGCGGCGGGCGCGGGGGAGGAGGAGGACGACGACGACGAGGAGGGCAGCGACGCGCGCTCTACGGGCGGGGACGAGGCCGCGGGAGGGGCGGGCGGCGCCAGAGACGAGCCCGACATGCGCGACGACCTGTCGCTTTTCGCCGACGACGACGACGACGACGACGGTACGGCACCGGCACGCGCCGCGGCCCCGTCGCCTTGTACTCGCGTACAAAAACCAAATACTGGCATTAGCTGGACGCTGTACATTGAATTATATTCGCCGCACCCGAAAACTCACCCTGCGGTTGTAATTAAAATCGACAACGACGTCACGCAACCGCGGTTATTTCGCGTCGAGAGACGACTGTGACGATCGATGACGAAGCGCGTGCGCGTTGCGGGGCACTAACGCCGCGCTGTTGTTGCAGAGGAGTCCAGCTCGGAGGGCGAGGGCGAGACGGAGTGGCTTCCGCGCGACGAGGAGCACAGGTACGTTGTGCGGCGAGTCCCGCCAGTCCCGCCAGTCCTGCCAATCCCGCCAATCCCGCCAGCCCCACCGGCGTCGAGTACTGACGAGTGCGTTGTCCGCAGGGCCGACGGGCAGGTACGCGCGCGCGCCGCAGGTCGACGCTTCGAGACGGAAACGCCCTCGACGCTCTGCTCTTGAGGCCGTAGGGAAAGCGACCGTCGACGTCGTTCGGCGGCGGAACGGGCGACCGCTGCCCTCGCATCGCTGACTATAATAGAACTTGCATTATTTCGACAGTTTTGAACGGTCTCGTCCGCGTTTCTAGCTTCTCTGCGAAAAGGCGTCGTCCTTTCCCTGTTTCCCAGGAAAGACCTGCAGCGTGTCCGAACATTAAAGTAGCGTTGTATACTTCGTTTCAATCCATATAAACAAAAAGTAAACAAACAAGTCACTGACCTGACCATAGACGGTTTACTGATGGCCAATTGTAATGCCAATTACAAATTGATTAATTAATTGAATGAATCGATTTGTTTAATTGAGTCATGCTATACCCTATCATTATAAATGCATGATATTTAAATCTTAATTTCCGATTATCCGAAATCTTAATTTGAAATTCTCCTTCAAATCCTCACACTTTATACTCTTTCGCTTTTAATTGTTCTTTGCACTTATTTACTTGCGATGGCAATGGATACTGAACTAGTGATTAAATGGTGCAGAACTTGAATACGCAAGCGCGAGAATAGGAAAGCGAGAGTGGCGAGCGATTTAGTACGCGAGTTGCGTCGAAGGTGTCTTGCATCGTCCTGCTCCGGCGCCGGTGAGAGTGGCGGCCGGTTCTGTCTTCACCCTCCCGCGCACAACCTCCGCCCGCCGTCGCCTGGACCGGTTGGCTCGCAGCGTCTGGCGCTTGATCAACTGTGGCGGAGTTGAGAGAGGTGTGATATTCACATCTTCATGGTGGCTGGTTACGTGCGTACCGCCACAACTGTACTTAGAAATTTTCGATTTAGTAATCGATTACAAAAACTTTAATGAATCGAATGTTTTTTTGTCGTACAGAACTATGCAACCATAAACATTTTTTTCAAATTAATGTTTTGGCAAAGCCATTAGCCTAAACATGAAGTTTAATTAAGTTTCTGTAAATATGGCCGCCACAAAGAGGATAGGCAATTTGAAGCCGCGTGCTTGGATTGACTCGGGATTCCTTAAAACCAGTCCAGAGCGAATCCAACCATAAACACGTGGTGAATATACAAAGACAAATATGGACATTGTTCCAATGGAATAAAAATTTAAATTAGACTATTAACTTATTTTAATAACTACTAACTTATAAACATCTACTTGTTCTAAGTGTTGCAACAACTTATTTCATGTATTCACGAGAATTAAAAAAATATCTGTAAAAAACTACTTAAGAACTCATTACCGGAGCCTGTTCTACTTTGTACAGTTTACAAAATTATTATATTAAAAATAAAGTTACCTGTAGAACGCCAAATAGTATTTAGTAACTAAATATTGGATTGATTTTTCAAAAAAATTCAACGAATTATTTAAATTTTGGCAATTAAAGTACATTGTCCAGAACGTGAAATTTGCAACTTTCATGTGAGCGACAAACGCCTTTGGTCTTGCTGCCGATCATCGCTTCTGTGAGCTTTAGTGGGTCGCTGAGATTCTTCGAGATAGATGTCACGTTGGTTTTCTCGCCGAAAATTGAAATCGAAGTCATTAAACAGGTATTTCAACCAGTTCAAGTCTCATTACAGGATTGCATATAATTATTAGTACGTATTCGCAATATCTAATTATTTATAAAGGCAAAAGATTAACATATATTTCTGTTAATCAAATAGACTGGATGGTAGACCTAAGCGCTAAATACAAGCGAGTTATTCTACAAAACTTACACGTTTCTCACTTCCGTGGTCTTCATTACCGTCGTTTACCGTAACCTTTTTGGGATGACGATGAGGAACCAAAGGTTTCGGTAATGAAATGAATATTGACTAATAATATTTTCTGCAATTTTCTATTTCCTTAAATACACATTGCATGTGTCATGGTATGCCCTATCAAAACAAGATATATTGGCGCGAAGAAGATTAGCCAAGCGCGAACGGTATTCCATGCTGAAACAAAAAGAAGAATTATATGTCATTGAAAAACAAACGGAAATAATACGATACTTAGATAAAGACAGAAAAGCAAATCAATAGTAGAGATGAACTGACACCACCTGCACTCTGTGTACCCACGTACAACGTGTCAAGAAAGATGGAGGAGATGAGGATAAATAGTAAGGAATATCATCAAACAAAAAAATTCAAACAAAAAGAGATTGAAGTTTCGTGCACAGAAGGTAGCATACAAAAGCAACTAGAAGAACAAGGATTAGATCCACTTGCATCAGATCTGTCTTCCTCGTCGCAAAAAAGTGACGAAAAATACGAGCATGAACATTTCTGAGAAATTCTTTCAATTGAGAGCAAAAAATAAAACGTCTGAGATACCAACGAGACAAGAAGGTAAAACTACTGAAAAATGTTATACGAGATGTGGAAAAAGAGGATAAGAAGTTGAAGACTTTCTACATATACCAAAAATACTATAGAAGTATCAAGAAAGACTGACAATTAAATAGCTGGAAAAAATTATAGAAGAAAGATTGGAAGGCAGTTTAACTCTGAAAAAGAGACAGTAATTTTGAAAAGTTGGTATAAATTGTTTCATTAGGGAAGTAAGAAGTAGAGGCTAAACTAACCAAAACAAAAGAAAACGAAAACATGACGATACTAATAAGAACGCACGTACATAAACGAAGGGTAAGGGTAAAGAGAAAATGGATAGAAAAAGAAATAGATTACGACCAAAAAGTCGTTGAAAGACCAAGTGCAAAGACACGACGCAAGCACATAGAAAAATTCGTGAGGTCCGTTGATTCGTTCCGTGGCTTAGTTGGTATAGCGTCTGCCACGGTATGCAAGAAGACGTCGGTTCGAATCCGACCGGATCGAAGGAATTTTTTCTGAGTGTTCGATCTTTGTATTAATAATTATAACAAACTAGTGGAGTAATTTCACAAAAAATAATTGAATATCAATTAAATAAAAATTTAATTAAGAAATAGATGATTAAAAATAGTGTTTGAAGAGTACTGAACGAGTATAACTTTAAAAAAAAAATGAAGGTTTTAAGTAAGCGATTTTTTCCACTTTTTTGTTATAATTTTAGGTTTTTAAAAATATTTATTTTATTTTGTTGATTTAATTAATAATACAAGGTTGTTTACTAAAAAATAGCTATTAGCAAAGAAAATGTTAATTATTATATTGTTACTACAATTTATACATTACACATACACGTACACACAAACGTACATGAACACGCGCACGCACATATATACATGACATTTAATTTCTTAGGAAAATGGAGACTGATTGCAGTAACCCAGAGACCCATTCAATAATAATTAACACCTAAAGTTACTGATGAAGTTTTGGTGGTACTTTGGAGGTGATACTTATGTTAAAGGTTTGTTGCAAGAGTCAGTTTCAGTTTCAATTATTAAGATTAAGTTTAAATTTTCTATTTGTCGTTACGAAAAGGAATGACAAAATAATAAAAAACTGTTACACACAATTTTCTTTTTTATATGCATGCATACCATTACAGTAACCTTATCTTTCACTACCTTATCCTAAAAAATCATTTCCATGTCGATTCTTCATCACCGTAGCTAGACATAGTTTAAAAAACCAAATATCGTCTTCAATACTGATTGCATATCTGTGCCTTTAATTTCTCTTGTGTTAGGGTACATGCTCAGTTCCATACTATTTTGAAAAATCAATAAAATTATAATTTTTAACTTTGTAAAAATTTTACGCAATTATTGCTAAACTGTAGAAACAAACACCAATATGTGTATGGTTGCATAGTTGAATAGATGAAAAATAACCTCACTTTTGGACGACCATTTTTCAAATGATATTTTACGATGCTATTCAAATGAATATTGTTGGAAAAAGTGATGAGATATCAAGTCGGAATCTTCGAAATATACGTAAAAAGTGTTGCTTATTCGGTTTATTGAGTGATTGCTTTAGAATGTTAACCAAACAGTTTAATTTACTTTTTGTTAATTAAATTTTTATTGAATTGGTATTCAATTATTTTTTGTGAAATTACTCCACTAGTTTGTTATAATTATTAATACAAAGATCGAACACTCAGAAAAAACACTCAGAAAAAAATCCTTCGATCCGGTCGGATTCGAACCGACGTCTTCTTGCATACCGTGCCAGACGCTATACCAATTAAGCCACGGAAACGTTACGTTAGTTTTTGTTTACAATGGATTGGAACAGGCTATATCGCCTGCGCTGCCGTATCGTTTTGTTGGACGAACGTTCGCATGGCCTTCCGTCTTAAGTTTTATGACCTTCGGTTTCTTTCGTTGTTAACTCGTGCGATGTCGACGTTCGTTCGGTCGCATGCGTGTTTGTTCCGCTTTATTGCGATGTATATGTCGCGTTGGGTGGTACAACTAGTTTCTTTTAAAACTTACCCGTCCGTCCTTGCTAATTTGTGGAGGCTGAAATGTGTGCATACTCGTTACAACGCCAGTGGCAAACTCGCGGCCATCGTTCCTCGAGGCGCGCCCGAACTCGACGAACGAGCGCTTCGCGAGAATACTGGTGAAGGTTACAGGTCGTGCCTAAGAGATAAACGATATCGGAAGGCCCGTGGTTTGACTCGCCGGCGTGTGCAGGAGGAGGCCGCAGCGACGCCGCACGCCCTGCCGTCGCCCGCCGCACCGCCGCCGCCGCCCTGCAGGTAAACCCGCCGGTCGCCGCGCGCCCGCGCCGGCGCCGCTGGCCGCGGCCTAACCCCACGTCCGCTGCGCAGGCGACTGGTGGAGGCGACGCCCGACCTGGTGCTGGACTTGCCCTCGCGCGGCTCCGCTGCCGCGGCGGCGACGCCCGAGCCGCCCCCGCGCGACGCGTCGGCGCCGTCGCCCGTGCCGCCCGACCCCGCCGACGCCTTCGCGCACAACCGCGACACGCTGAAGAAGCGGCCCGCCGCGCACGGGTACGCCGCCCCGGCCCTCGCCCCCTCCGCCCCCGCCCCCGCCCCCGCCCCGCTCATGCGCTCGGCGTTGCAGATGCGCCGGCCGCGACGCGCCCCTGTCGCCCGCCTCGCCCGCGGCCGCCGAGGCCCCGCAGGCCCCGCAGGCCCCGCAGGCCCCGGAGGGCAGCCCCGTGCCGGCGCGCAACACGCAGCGCGTGGCGGCCAAGTTCGCGGAGCTGACGCTGACGGGCGGGTCGCTGAAGCCGGCGCTGGCCGCCAAGCCGCTGCTGCTGCGCCGGCCCACGCCGCACCCGCACGCGCCGCGCGCGCCCCCCGCCGCGCCCTCGCCCCCCTCCGGGCCCGCGCTGTAGCGGCGGCCGCCACACGCGGCGGGGGTGCGCCCGGTGATAGATAATAAATGAGATCTCTGTCTTGAGGTCGTCTGAGTTCACTTGGCGTATTTCATTCAGCGCGGTCCGCGATCTGCAACGGCCGCTTGGCGTGGGCGGAAATAGACGGGGCTCGTCCACGAACAGCATACAATTCGTGTAGTCTGTTCGTAAGCCTATCGCATAGATGACAAATATTTTGTCGCTGATTTTCATATCAAAACGTCCTTGTTATTAATCGTAGACCTAAAAACGGAAGCAACCGGGAAAACCCTCCGTGTTAACCTTCCGTGGCTTCTCTAGTAGCCACAGAGATTTCACATACACACGTGAGTAGCGCAACAGCCGGTAAAGTTTGTTATTGCGCGCGAGTTAGGTCTATTTCCCTTAGCGTTAAGCGCCAGATGTGACCGATGGATATTACGTAAGATATAGGTAGACATTTTATTTAAAAACAACGAAAATGTGGTTCTAGTTCCAAACTTTCCTTTGTAGTGTTTATTGATATAGTCATGTATGAAATTGTATACTATTCATTTGTCAATCAAGACAGGGAATATACATGTACTAAACCTTTGGTGAACGCTGACAAGGCTCAATAAAAGATTCGGTAAAAGACGTCAAATATATCAGTTCAAATAACTATTGAAAAGTTTAATACATGTGACGTCAAGGCGCACATCGCGCACAAATTCAAATGTAATGTACAGGGTGCCTATGAAATCGACGAATAATTCATAACGTTTTTACCCAACACTACATCAACAGTTTAATCATGCAAAATTTTACGGAGTAGTTTTTTGCATTTACTATGCATGAGAAATTGCTAAGAAAGTTAGCGATTTGGCTTGATGACATAGTGAGTGTAAGGACGCAGGTGTCTTGCGAACACTTTCAGGTCGGCTGGCTCCACGCCCGGACGCCGCCCGGCCACCGCTCGGCCACCGCCAGGCGTCGCTCGTCGCCGCCGACCAATCAAAATTATTTGGATTCTAAATTGTCTCATGTAAAAGTCTCTTTCCACGTGGAAGTTCATTGTCTCGATCACGTTCCTCACCTCACATCTTTATTTTAATGTAATAGAGTACTTTCATTTATTGCTACAAGAAACGCATTTAAATTCTTGTTTCATGTCTTGAAAATGTGTGCGACTTGAAGTGCCTTATGGTTCCCGGACACGTTTATCCTCTTAAGCTTGTCAAGTCGAGGCGTGAATTTCATAGGCAGGTTGTATAACATGATAATTATAAATTGTATCGCTGCTTTGTAGAGTAACTACTACAAGAGAGCAATCGTTTCAGTAAACATAATAATGATAAACCGCTTTCTGCCGACGAGTACATGCACAAATGCATTTATCTACATATCGTCCCGCGACAGCCAAGGGTAGGTCGTGCGGGGGCGGTTGGCGGTGGAGTGTTGTTTTATACGATTTGTCACGGTAATCGATATTTATATTATTATGTATAGGAAGTATTATTTTTGTACGCGGCGACTGCGCCGAATGCGCGAGAATCGAATGTATCGTCGCTTTTAAATTATTAGACGTATAAGCTTACTGAATGTGTATTTTTTGACTAGGGTTTTTAGACCTTCGACTGTGCGCCGGCGGCAAATGCCGGGGAGCGATCTGTAATCTATGTACTCAATAAAACAGTATTATCTCTTATGACCGGCGTTTCATTAACACCTGAAACTCGTTAATATTCTATCAAACGTCTCTCCGATACACACGGGCAATAAAACATATTTGAAACGACGAATAATCATTTGAAAGTGCTGACGAAATCTATGGCGCTGTGACTGCGCCTGGGACGGACGAGAGTGAGAGCGTCCGGTCGTGCGGCGCGCATGGCGATGGCCGTTTGGTCGGCATCTAGTATGCTTGAACCAATTAACGTTGCGAATATTCCTCGGACAAGGTTTGACAATCTATTCGGTGGGTAGGCAAACGAATCATGCAGGTAGAGACTAGACGATTTGTCTATACTACTTAGATGGATTTTTAACTTGGTTATACAACTCGATATCTTCCAAACAAAACAGTAACAGGTATAAAACTGAAACAACTTCATTGTTCACGCCCGGTCCCAAATTCGCAATGTTTCATTTAGTCTAGGGCCATAGCTAATAATGATTGTGTTCACTGCGGACAACTGACTCCTAAGATACAAGTTTTTAGTTTAGAACGCAATGTTATTTTTTTGAATAAAATATTATTATTATTATAGATTTACCATGTCAATGAGATTTATCTATATTTCTCTGGTTGGATTGCGAAATACAGTTAAATGCCGGCTATAATTTTGGGTGGATCGCACTCCGGCTCCGTACGAGTGAATTCATTTTCCTCGGATTACGTTTCGATCAATTGGCATGCGCGTGCGTGGGTGTTATGCGACGGATGACGGTAGCACGACGACGTGACCCGCGCCGTCGCCGTGCCGAACTAATGTGCGCCTTAATGTTTGGACTCAGAGTCCGCTAAATTTTTCCCTTCGAGACTCAAGTTTGGCTGAGTAATCAAATCGGGCGGTCACGGAGGAAAGTACTCGATCTCGAAGCGTCCGGCTTCCCCGAGTGAAAACAATACGCCGGCTCCATATTAATGCGCAGTCGCCTCTAAGTTATAAGTATGGGTGGCACACGCCGCTGGCACTCGCTCCCGCGTCCGTCGTCGTGCAGGATGTGCACCGTGGCCACCATGGGGCTCTTACTCGTGAGTATCCTCCGAAGGGTGTGGCTGTGAGCACAAAACAAACAGATAAGCAAAACGGAAAGTTGATGGCAAGACTGCATTGCAGGTCGCGCTGGCGTTGTGCTGCCCTGCGGCGGAAGGCAGGGGCGCGCGGGCGCTGCGAGGGCAGTGGGCAGTGCGGCACAATAAACGCGGCGCTCTGGGCGGCTTGCCGTCTTACAAGCTCGGGCACGACATCCCGGTGGTGACGCATTCGGTGCTCAAACCACTGGTGGTGACGTACCCGCCAACCGCCACCGTGGCGGCCGTCAAGGTGCCGCTTGCGCATCCACTACTGCCTCGGCACCCCCAGAAGCACCCTCTTCACTCTCCTCACCAGCACCATCATCACCGCACGAAAACGGTGCTACTACCACACCCCGAGCAACACTTTCATCATCATCACCATCACGTGACACCACAGCCGGCGCTGTCCGTGCTGCCGGTAGCTCAGCCAGTGGTGCATCCTTTGCCGCCGCCGCCCGCTCCGATAGTCCCTGCACCGGCGGCGCCGCTCCTGCCGGCCGCGACGGCGCCAGTACCGGTGGCGCCGTTGCTGCCTCCCGCGCCCGCACTGGTGCCTTTAGCGCCACAGTACTCCTACGTGATAAGGCCCGGCAACGCCGTACAGACTGCGTACTTCGCGACGTACCCGCGGTACCCGCTGGCGAGTTACCGACCATTGGCGCCGGCGCCGGCGCTGCTATTACCGCAGCCACCTGCGGTACACTTGCAGCCGCAAGTCGCGCCGCCGATACTCGCAGTAGCACCGACTCCGACTTTTCCACATCCAGCGGAAATACCGCAGACCATCCAAGTACACAACTCTCAGCCAGAGTCGCATGCACACATCGCCCCCTCGGGCGGGCAGCTACCGGTGGCCGCGCATGTGCTGGAGAACGACGGTTGGGCGCCTCTGGGTTCGGGGCACTCGCTTTTCACGCAGGAGGCGGGCACGCAGGTGTACGAACAGCACGACGGCGAAAACCAAGCGCTGGGGGGGTATCACGGTCAGTTGCAGCAGCACACGCAGCAGCAACTAGAGCAATCGCACTTTGATCACCACCAGTTCGGCCACGAGTACACCGCGGCGGCGCGTGCCCCTGTACCGAGCGCTGAATACGGCCAGCCAGGTAACGAGTACGACCAGCAACTCCTTCAGCATCGGTATCAACAACAGCACGACCACCAGTATTCTCAGCAGTACGCCCAACACGAACCGTTCCCTCGAAACGACCTGCAATTCGCTCCACACGACCAACAGCACGCTCAACACGATCAACATTCATACGAGCAGCAGTATACACAACACATCGAGCAGCACCAGCAGCATCCGGCGGCTTCGTTCGAGGAGCAAGAGTTGCAAGGCCGCAGTGCGGAGGAGAGCGATCAGCGTTTCCATAACCACATTCCGCTGGGGCTGCAGCCCCCCATTGACCGTCCGCTCGACCACTTCCGGTAGCGAGTCGCGAGGACGCGCGCGTGGCTTTCCTCGACGCCTTGTGATAAAACGAAAGCAAGTATTCAAGAGACTATAGTCTCAAGTTACCGACTACTTGCATGTAAATAAACTATGTTATTATTTATTTCTTAAGTTAGAGATATGTAATAAATAATTATGAATAATTAATACATGTTGTGTTATATTCATGGACAGGCTTGCTACGCTTTATATTATAGTCACTTCGGTGGGCGCAGCGGCGCTGGCGATGGCGAGGCGTATCGAGGCCGCACGTGCGCGACGTAATAGCTGTGATAGGGACAACTTTCGTATGTGTGTGATTAGATCACATTTGGGTCACTTAGATCGTTTTGCGCCTGCCTATGCCCGCTCTGATGACAACTGCATGTGGCTGCTAAGATTTTACACTTTACATTTCACCACAACGAACCTACCTAGATTACCTACCTAGATTTTGCATTTTCGTGGAACATTGTCGTTTGGTTATGGAGATTTACGCCATCACAGTCACGCTTCTGCAATTCAAGTGTTTATAGAGTAGCGAAGTGTACCAATTACGTGTAAGTAAATAAGCTAAAGTTTAAGTATAAAGTTATTGTTTAGTAAATATTTGTGAATATGTGCTTTCCGTAGTATTCGGAGGTTGGAATAGGTACACGGACTCGCAAGTCGAAATCTGTGCCCGTCTGCATAGAAGCTGTCGAGGTCTAGGTATCCAGCTGTCGTGTTTGGTTTAGGCAAGAGACTAGTCCGCGTCGCAAGTCACGGACACGCCACTTGCGTGCACACGAGCGAGTGTGCATCTTCGAATGAAACTTGAACATTTCATTCACAATAGGATTATCATATAATTACGTGGCGAACAGTAAACTTGATACGAATAAAAAAGGAAAAAAACATTTATTTGGCAATTTACAATAGTAGTTCAAACATATCAAATAGTATTACTTAACACGTTGAATAAAAGCAGAAGAAACAATTAAATTAATATAAAGTAAAATACACAATAATAGCTGAAAAGACGGCCAGTTCAGCTTTACGCTGGGCATCTGCTCAGGCTCAGCGGTGCGCTGAGGATCTCCTCAACGCTGATTTTCAGCTGGGACTTGAGAGAATATACATAATTGTGATACTTCCGGTCATTAATATGAATATTACAAATATTTGATACTTGGGTTTGGTAGTTACGGGTCAAAGCGTGATAATAATTAACTCAGCTTTACGGATGTCACAATTAGTGTTTTTTTTGTACCAATTGACGGGACGAACAAATTGTGGGCCGGGCGTACGCCTGTTCGGCTCCATAACAGTTGCAGTGCCACTCAGAGCATTAAATCACAAAGATCTGAGGGGCGCTGCCACTGCGCCCGTCACCCTGAGACATAAGTTCCTGTAATTTCACCAGCAACAGCAACCTTACCTTTCAAAACCGGAACGCAGTAATGCTCACATTACGGCTTGGCGGCAGACATAGAGTAAGGTGGCAGGAGGTACACTGGACCATCTCTTTCACAAATGCTATGGATGAAGTTTGACGGGCGGCGTCAGGCAGATGCAGTCAACAGATTTTACTAATGCGTTCATTAGGGAATATTTGACATGTGCACTTAAAGTTATGGCGCCGCATACGTAGAAAACGGAAGTCAGGCTGTTGTTCCTTTTAGTAATTGTGTTCAGCAACAAGTACCTGTGGTCATTTTGGGTAGGTGCTATTTATTTGTGTTTGTAATTATTTACTTGCGCTTGTATGTATATATATACTTACATATATGTACTTACTTATTTTATTGACAAATGATAGAAAATTGAGCAGCTACTCACAGAGAACATCCTTGAGCATTGAACGGGCTCGAGAAACAATAGACGCGTGTGTAGATAAAAGCGCGCGCGCACGGAGCGAGGGGCGGGAAGTAAAGGGCACGCCGCACCGGGTACAGCCTCCGACTGTCCCAAGTACTAGGTCCTAGGCGACGCGGCGCTTATAAAGGCGGCAGGCGCACACCGCCGACAGTGACTCGCCGTTGCCCCGAACCTATCCGTCCACTCCAGACATGAAGGCTATCGTAAGTATCACCTTTGCGTACCGCTATTTCCGCCTAATGCTATATCGGTTTTCGTCTTTAAATACAAGATATTATTTCTAAAATGACAAATTATAAAAATGGTAATAAATGGTTTTGGAGTTCACGAAATGTACTAAAGGATTCATCGCTATTACTTCGATACCCACTACGGAAGTTTTATTTCTCGGTTCTTGGAACCTATTGTTCACGAGCACATGTTTGTTCCGAACTTCTCATTAATTTTATAAGATCGGAAAGAGCAACACAGAGCATTTACTTGCGGCGAGGCCGAGCAGCGATAACTGAAAATCTCCGTGTGTAGGTGGTGTTGGCGTTGGTAGCGCTGACGAGTTGCGCGTACGCAGACACCGAGAAGAAGCAAGAGAAGCGCGACGCTCTGGGCCTCGGCTACGGGCTGGGCGCGCCGTTAGTGGGCCACGGCTACGGCGGGTACTACGGGCACGGCCTCGGCCTCTTCAACCATGGCCTGCACAGTAGCGGGCTCTACGGCGGCGGGCTTTATGGCGGCGGTCTCCACGGCGGTGGTCTCTACGGTGGCGGTCTCTACGGGCACGGCCTGTACGGGCACGGCTTCGTGGCACCGCCTCTGCTGGGTCGCGGGCTCTATGGCGGCGCGCCGCTGCTCGGCTTCGGACACGGATACTTACATTGAGTGGCGGACGGCCACTCTAGCTTGTATCGATGGCTTACTAGAATAGCGGCCCATTTCAAAGACATCTAATTCACTCGGCAGGCGAAAAAACTGAGAAGTATCTTGCGCGCAAAGCCTTGTCTAGGCGGTTGGATACATAATAAAACGTAGCACTTTTGGATACAGCTGTGTAACAAGTGAAAATGGATATATTTTGGTGTGGGCCACTCCTCTTGAAAACTAGCAATTATATTTATTATGTTTAGTGCCAAATTATTGTGAATAAATAAATGTACGTATTCGTTTGATAATTATATTCTGAGAACCGCTACTTTTCAAGTGTCTTTTATTTTTTCTTAAAAAGAACTTCCGCTCCGATGTTTATTTGAATGTTTAAAAGAATAGACGGCAAGAAATACTTAAACACAACATTATTATGTAGTGTACTTATGATGATATTCTTCGGTTGCACCTCTTTTTGCACATCCGAAATGTCTATCCTAAGGTTGCCTGGAAGAAATTGGTACATGGCAATAAGGCCGCCTGTATCACATTAAGTTACTACTACTATTGTACTGAAGCTATTGTATTGTATTTTAATTGTAATTTCATGTGCAACAAAGAATATTTCATTGATTTCATTTCGTTCATTCATTATTAGGCATACGGGATAATGCGATAATGCCGCCAACTCACAGCGCCGTTGAGTTCTTCCACGCCGCGAGTCCAAAGGTCCAAAGAAAAATTGTTTAAGTTTATTTCTTTTGTTTCGTTTTCATCATTGAAATATAATAAATTATATTGATATCAATAAATTAACAGACCACTGTGCATGACTGGTTTGTCTGAAGTAATAAACACCCTCAAAGTTAAAATTTGGTTTAGCTTTATTTTTTACTTAGTCCTACATAATTATACCAAATCAAAGTGTCGCCGGTGGGTCAGTAGGGCCATCAGGCGAGGGTTTCGCAACCGCGGCCGGAAGGCGGTTGCGCCACGCCGCGCTGCGCCGCCGCCGCCGCCGCCGCCGCCGCGCGGTGCGCGGTGCACTCGTTTTAAAATGCTCGCCGGGGCACAAGGAAATCGTGTTCATACTTGCATGCCTCTCATGCAGTGCATACATTACAATACGATACCAGCCGATTTTAGCTGGTATCGACAAAATTTCTTAAAAGTAGCCTGACAAACCTACAACAATATAAAATATCCTAATAGATACCATTCTTCTCATTCTATGTCTTAGCCGTGCGTGCGTTCTTCGCTGACCGTTCGTTGTTAGTGTGAGTGCTAAGTACCTGCGTGTCTAGGTACTAATATTGTATAACTCAAAGTTATGCTGGCATTGGGTGTTTAACTGTAATATTGCAGTGGACGAGACGAGGCGCGGCTCGCCTGGAATCCGGCAGGTCGCGCAATGCACCACATTCTATGACATACGTTACACTTTTTGTCGACAACGACTGCGCAGGCGGCGTCTACGCAACATGACCATATTAAATGAAATTTCATATATCTATGTTATCCGAAACCGGTAACCGAACTACGTCTCTTGCACTAGGGCACTTGAGTATAAGTTTTAACATTCACACTACAACAAAATGAATTTGAATTCACATTATCATCTGTTCCTTACCGTTTTTAAAATCAGGCACGCCGTTATTAAGTATTTTTCATTTATTTTTTTTACACGATTTTCTAAATTCAACTACCAAAATTTGCCGTCATTTACTAGTGCAAAAGCTGAATACTCAATCTTCGATTCGTCGGTTCGATTACCAGATGAGGGAAGCAACTTTTAAAAGTCTTTGAATGCAGTATAACTTACTTTTAAACATAATGTATCCATGAAGCAAAATATCCTATCTACAAAATTTACAGTACTTTTCTTCCGTGTTGCGTAGCCAGGGTATCCTGTACGCTTGCATACACGCCGTTTTCCCTTTTAATAGAGATTGCAACAAACACGCAGGTTAGTAAACCTGCAGGTACGTAAGTAAAACTTAAAAATGTTTCATTTCAGACGCAAACGGGGATCGGTGGTGTTAAGTGAAACACAAGCGTACATGAACAAATTTATTCGTTGACTCCTGGCAAACTTAATTGGTCCACCGTATTGCTTCTAACTACAGACAGATACGCAGTAAGACTAGACTTTGTGCAGGGGTCGCGGGCACGCGGAACGGCGACCGCACAGGTGGCTTTGTCAATTTCTACTTATTATTACGGCTAGTGTTAAGATGTAAGTATGCAATAAGAAAGCGCTGGTGCTCGGAAGCGAGTGCGGTCAGCATAAAAGGGGCGAGCGCCGACCGCGCCGCGCCCTCACAGCGCAGCGCCGGTGTCCACAGAAGTAGTGTACATTTTATTGTACCCAATACTTACTACATCGTAATATGTGCATGCGCTTGAATCGCTTCTTATTCTTTTTGGAATAGTTTGAGAACTTTAGGTTCACTCTCGAGGTATTTCCCAGAAAGTGCAAAGTGACCACCACCACGCAAGTACGAGTGCGCTCGTCCCGCGCGACGCGGGGACTAGATTAACATGAACAACTCAAGTGATAGATAGTCCGCAACCAACAAAACACTAAACCGATGTGCGATGGGGGTGTTTCAAACCGATGCTCAGCAATGGTTCGGGTTCACTGGACACTCGTTTGAGACCGCGACTTATGACTATGACTAGAGGTGTCGTCGGGCGGGCGTCGGCGGCTGACGGGTGCGGTCGCCGCCGCCGCCGCCGGTGGGCCCGGCCCAGCGGAAGTGGACCAATGGAGCCGCCGCACCGCTCTACGCTTACGCTTAGCCTAACTATGTACAGAATTAGTACCCGTTTAATTAACATACACCTATGTACACGAAAGTAAGTGCCGGGCGGCGAGCGGCGGGGGGCGCGGTAGGGCCGCGGGCGGCGAAGGCCCCCCGGCCGCACCCCTCGCCGCGTCGGCTCACCGTCGGTTCTATTGTTAATATTCAAATGTCGCGTCCATTTGGCGCTCACTCGGCACCGCTCGATGCGGAACACTGGGGTCACTGACGAAGGTGCAGACTCGTGCCGGCTCTCAGTTGGGTTCTGCGGCCTTATCCGCACTGGCGCTGATGGGAGTAGGGGTGGCAGCGGTGGTGGGCGGAGACTGCGCGTTCTGGGCGGACGGCGCAGCCGGGGCCGGCGCGGGCACGCCACTCGGCGAGCCGTTGGTGAGGCGCGCCAGCGTCTTGTACAGCGGCGAGTTGACGAAGCGCGGATACGAGTCGCGGTGCATCAACGTGTAGATCTGCAACTGCGCCTCGTCGAAGGTGTGGGGCGTCGGCTCCACCATGTTGCGGTTCACCACTTCACGTACGCGTGAGTCCAGGGACACCTGCAACCGCGAAGGATACTTAGGTTTACAGGTAAGTATACACTTGAATGACTTTAACACTAAGTTAGAGCAATAAAGTGGCACCTCTTTGGGCGAGAGTATGGAGATGTAGTCCTCATAGATAAAGCGCGCCTTTTCCTCGACGGCATCGGGGTCGGTCTCGCGCTTCAGCTCCTCACACGCCAGCCAGAACATAATGTTCTCTTCGGAGTACTCCCCGCGCAGGAAGTCGCGGAATACCTTCCTCCCGGCTGGAATGACAACATCAGTCAGAAAGTAAAATACCACAGTCCTGTTATCCTGTCGTTATTTATACAAAACCATATCATTCGCGTTCGTCCACCGTTAGTACCTAGTATGTTTGGATCTATAGGCTATGCTCTATCTAAGCTGATTAATTTTATCATGCCAATGCAATTTTTTTTCTTCAAATTTAAAAATAGAAATCAACTATACTACATAAAATAAATAATACTTTCTGAGCAAAATCATAATTTTGTGTGTACCTAAGTATATTATGTATAATAAGACGAGCGCTTGGCATGATGAAAAGGATGGAGTGTTCCGGATTTTCTAATAGACCGAAACAGGGACGGTGAATATCGAATTAAACTCCGAAATGTATTGATAACTAAGCCACTTTTCTGCGGAGATCGAGACACAACATCAACAAAAGCTTCAACGCCATTTTTCAATTAGTCGTAGTCTATAATTAGTAGTCGTTAGTGGTATCGGAAAGAGCCATCCTAGAAATCACAGTTCAAAACCCAATCGGAAACAGTTTTCAGCCTCTGTGACCGAGTGACCACTGTCTGTAGTTTACGTCGGATCTCTTCGCTGGTATGGACATCAACACATAACTCTTCGCCATTGTGCTGCAGTCTCCGTACCTAAAGACACCGGGTATCAGTAGCATAGGTCGTTGACGTGCAACAACATATATATATATAGGTACTTGTTTAAGTAGATATGTATTAATAAATAATACCAACGTATATTTTAATTCGCCTGAACTTCCTTCCACATGGCGGCTTATATATCAAGTCAGGGAAGATATTATGATTTAAGAATCACGCATTATACGCAGGGTGCACTATAAGTTTCCGGAACTAGCCACTTACTTAAACAATATTTAAAAAGTAATCACAACATTTGAAAATTTTGAACTCTTTGGCTGTAGAATACAGTTTGTTTCATCTGATCGTCACTTGTTTTTACATTGTGGCGTCATTTTAGAAATTAGTTGTCTGTACTCACCATGGATTTAACTCGTGAAAATTTTCGTAGTATGATTTTCTACGACTTTAAGTGTAATTTTACAGCTCAGCGGAGCTTTGCTCGGCTTCAAACTGCTTTTGGCGATGAAGTACCATGCAAGACGATTATTTATGGCTGGTTTGCAGAATTCAAACGCTGTTGTGTGAATTTCAGTGACGAATGTCGTGATGGTCGCCCGTCCACTGCCGTGAACAACAAAATCATCGATGCTGTGCGCCGTATGATCAAAACAGACAGGCATGTGATATACCATGAGATTTGGGCATCTTTCGGCATAGGCATAAGTCAAATACAATCAATACTACACGAACATTTGGGTGTGAAAAAGCTGTGCTCACGGTGGACCCCACGCAATTTAACTGAGGCTCAAAAAACGGATCGCGTCACTTGATGCAATGCCATGCTTACAAATTGGGTATAGGACATAGTAATAGGTGACGAAACATTGATTTATAGTTACGATCCCAAAACAAAGCAGCAACCGAGCGTATGGGTCTTTCGAGATGAGCCGAAACCAACCAAAGTGGCGCGCGTGCAAAGAGCCTCTAAGCGGATGATTGCTTCTTTTTTTAATAAAACTGGACACGTGGCTACTGTTGCTTTGGAAAATAGTTGTACCGTGAATAGTGATTGGTACACGACCATTTGTTTGCCGGAAGTTATTGACAAACTCCGTAAAAATAACCGTAAACGCCATATCGTCTTGCACCACGATAATGCCAGTTCTCACACGGCCAGACAGACAAATCAATTTTTGAAGGTTAACAACGTTGACCTTATGAGCCATCCCGCGTACAGTCCCGACCTGGCACCTTGTGACTTTTATTTATTTCCAAAAATTAAGAACCAAAGTTACGCGGTCAACGATTTTCATCATCTGAAGAGGCTGTCGAAGAGTATGAAAAATATGTTTCAGAGATTGTCACGGGGGAGTGGCATAAATGTTTTCAAAATTGGTTCATTCGTATGAAAAAGTGCATTAACGCTAACGGAGAATATTTTGAAAACAATAAATTCATTTTTGACCATTAATAGCATTTTTTTTCTTATTCATTCCGGAAACTTATAGTGCGCCGCACGTACCACACTAAAATTAAACTAAAAACGCACAGACAAGACAGTTAAAGTGGATGTGCAAAAGCAGTAAACACACCTGCGTTGCGCATGAGCCTGTCGAACGACTGCCCCCAGCTGCGGATCTCCTCCAGCGATGGCCTGCAACACATCAAACCACACTAAACACAGACACAACTTCAGAGCTGTAAACCCAGTCGTTGCGGTGGACATTTTCAAATGTAATTTAGTCACAGAATAAAAATATCTTTGCAATAGAACGACACTTACAAGATGGTAAATACTCGATTTTTGACATCCATGTAACGAAACAGGGTACCTCGTACTATCATATTCTGATATTTAATTATACGGTAAACGCAGTTACTATCCATGAAAGGATTAAATGGACATAAGTTTAGTTTTTTAATTGGGGAAAAATACATTTATACATTATAAATTAAATTGACAACAGGGAGTACACAGCGAGATCTCTCTGTCTGCTTCATGTTGTCTATCTAGAGATACATAGAAACAGAGGAAGACAGAGATGACACTGAGATTTTCAAGTGGCGAACATGTGGATTGATACTGTTAATATGAGTAGGTACGCACGGCGCATCTCCGTCGCAGAGGTCGTGCGGGCCGGCGCCGGCGCCGCGCGGCTTTTTGCCGGGCTCACCGTCCGAACCGCGCGCCGCCAGGCTGCCACAGAACAACACAATTAACATGTTAATGACGCATCAGTATGCGCCATGACATAAAAAATAGTATTTCAACGGTGTTAGCACCATGAACTATTCAGAATTTGCAATACACAGGTGTGTTAAGTGCTTGTTCTCGCATATTGGTTTATATTACTTGTCATTGCTCGCAATAGGTAGTATTTTAAAATTGACCGAGCAAACGAATCCCATCGAAGATAAGTGGCGGCGCAGTTTCAGTACCACGGCGGGCAAAGGCACAGAGGAAGCCAGGAGAGTCATGCAGCATGCGGGACGCGAGAGGCAGGCGCAAGCGCAGGCTGACAGCCGGCTACTTACCACTTAGCCCTGCAACAAAATAAACCTCGCCTTATTACTCATAACATAACCTACTTGATATTAATTAAAGAAAAAAAGTATTTTTATAAGTTCTATCCAAGGAAGCATAAATATGCATTAGAAGTCTTGTCTTGTCGTCAGCAAAAGTAATGTCATAACGTGAATTGTCTATAATTTCGCTAGGAATGAAAAAAATTTGCTCTATTTGCACGAAATGACATTAAATTGAAAAAAAATTATCAGTCAAATGACCACCTCTCGAGTTGATGCACATTTGTGCTCTTTTTACGGCGTTTTGAATTGTTGGTCGCAAAACGTCTAGCTCCAAATTGGTGATTTCTTCGTTAAAGGTAGCTTTCAAGACTTGCGAGGTTTGAGTTTTGTTATGGTAAGCGCGAGATTTCACAAAGCCTCTAAGGAAGCAGTCTGGCGCTGTTAGATCTGGACGGCCAGTTAAAACCCCCATAACGGGAAACGTCCTGGTAGAACCAACAATTCAGCAATTTGTGGAAAAAAAAGTCGTTTAACATCTGCCTGTAACGCTCACTAGTTGCGGTTATCGGCGTCCTCAAAAAAATAAGGGCCAATCACTTTTTCACTGCAAATGCCACACCAAACAGTCACTTTGAGGGGATGCAATGGCTCTTTTTGCATTTCGTGTGGGTTCATTGTGTCCCAAAAAACGCAAATTTTGTTTATTAACAAAACCTCTAAGTGGAAATGAGCTACGTCGCTCATTATGATTTGTGATACGAAATCATCCTCTTCATGCACAAAGTGTAATAAATGTGCATTGTCAACTCGGGAGGCGGTCATTTGCCCGATATAATTTTTTCAACATAATGTCATCAATTTTACATATTCAAATAAACTTTTCGTGAAAACTGAGCAATTTTTTTTCATTTCTAACAAAGTGGTACCCAATTCGCATTATGACATTACTTTTGCGCCACCTGTCATATGAAAAAATTATGCGAGCTTTTAGTTAGCTAATGATAGTAAATTTTTTTGATTGAGCAGCCAGTAAGTGGTAGTTACTTTTACTTACATTTAAGTAGGTATATTTGTACGCATATATGTATAAGCGGTAAATATGTTATATGCATATACTGACCAGGAGCAAGAGCAGCAGCAGCACCAGCAGAGGCAGCACGGCTTGGCGGCGGGCCGGCAGCCGCGCGCCAGCGCAGCCAGGCTGCACATCTGCAACGCATCGACGTACAACATCAAATACGCTATTCCATTTCTCAGAGTAGTGGTAACTTCGCAGATGCTCGTGATGCAGACCGTTAAATGAATGCACTTTCTTAGTTGTTTATCTAACACCGAAGACTGCGAAACTTTGTTTGATAAATCGTCAATCTTCATCATTATATATTCAAATAAACGCTTTATTAATCTAATAACAAAAACGTTTGCCAAATTTAAGTGACCCGCCTATTGTAATTGAATATTCTATAGCCCTCGTCGAGTGGACCGCTTGGCACTGACGGGAGACCGAATTTCATAGCCAGCACTGTACACAAACGTGTCCGATTTGATTATCGTACAGTACGCACAGAAGACATCAACGTACGCTGCTAGTTGCGTTACATCATCATGTAAATGGGCGCTGGGGCATTTGTCAAGCTGTTAATGAATTTGACCACAGCCGCGATGGTCGTTGTAAAGTTTGTTAGCAACTGTTACGTTGGCTCACTCGACATTGACGAAAAATACAGTTTTCAATTTTTTTTTCCATTACATCATTATGAATAAGGCAAACATGTTTAACGCAAAACGGAGAGAAAATTGAGAACAATTAATTAAACATAAAAAATAACATGTTTTTCAGGTCATTCGTTTTGAACGGACGTGCAACACAAGCGAATACACTCTCCCAGCGCTCGTCTCTCATTGCTCTTCGCTCGAGCTCTTGCTATCAGCTGAAAATGATGCTCGTTTCGGTCCCTCTAAGCCGTCGGATCACACTTTAGTAATTTATCTGAAACGAGACCTCTCCTCTTCAGGGTTCCACTGACAGTAAGACGTGAATAAAGTACGTTAATTTTACTACATAGGTATTACCCATAACACGACGGTAGATAATAACCTATAAACACTTAAAGGAATCTGATAAGTTATCGTCGTAAAGAAATAAATAGAATAGTGTGCGTAAGTAAACGATTTGGAAAATCAGTAGCAGCTGGAACCTGAGTCTTCCGAAAAACTTGCTGAAGGAGAGAAACTCCTTTTACACTTCATAGCCCCACAAAGGGAACGTCCCTTTCAAGTGACGACGGGCGGAGTATGATCAAGTACCGCAGCCGGCGTCAAGATTGACTCACTTTTGAATGTATTGGAAAAAAATAAATATAATAAAAATGGAGTTAAAAAGTTCAAGAATGAGCTATGGAATTGCAATTGTCACTGCTTACTAGATACACCTACTCGAACTGAAGGTTCAAGCTCAACGTGTATTGACAATTTTGTTATTAAATTTGAAATATAATATTGTGAAGCAAATGTTATGAAATGTAAGCTCAGATCACAATGTCATTTTATTCAAATATTTTTTAGCACCACTAAACCAAACAGACAGACAGTTAATTTAGAATCATGTAAAACTCTTAGATGTAAAACGAAAAATAACTTTAATTACTTTCATCACCTATTAAATAAAAATTGACTGTTAACATTCGAAATTGAAAATACTATTGATTCAAATGTAAAAATGATCATTTGAATGGAAGCGATTATGCATTACTACGATAGGGCGTTTCCTATTAGAAAAGTTCATGCAAACAAAAGTGAACAAAAAATGGCATACTGTTAGAATTGAATCACAAGCAAAGTTAGAAGACATGGAAATGTTACAAGACTTAGAACCGACTAACGAACGGAAATAGGAAATTAAAAAATGCAAAAGGGTATTAAAAAAAGTGATGTTCACAGCAAAGAAGTTACAGATGAAAAGGGCAAATAACAACGTTACAGGTTTGTGGGCAGTCATTAATGAGCCGACTAAGACAAGGGTAAAAAATAAAAGAAACATCAAATATGTGAAAAATAACGAAGGAACCATTTTTACTGAGGCTACAGAGATAGCTAATGTATTTAACAATTATTTTTTAACAATACCTAAACTGATTTCGGCTCACGGAGATGTTGACATATCTAAATCTAAATAACACGCAGAAAAACCAGTATCTACCTTGACATTCACGGCCATTGAAAATAAAGAACTCATTAAAGTGATTAAAGAAATATAAGGAGACCAACTACAGATGTTTATGATATGGATACTGAAACGCTAAAACGTTTGATCCTGGAAGACAGTTACTTGCAGCAACTTTTGCTTCATGTAATAAATTCTTTTTTAAGCCAAGGAGTATTTCCAGAAGTACTAAAAAAAAGGATGCGTAATTCCTCTTTTTGAAAATGGATCTAAAGATGACATGAACAAATACAGACCAATTTGTGTTCTTCCAAATACGGACAACGGCACACCAGACTACACATTTTTGTTCGAAAATCGCCTCCAGTGCAACGGAACAAGATACGTCAATGTGTAGCTTCATGTGCTGGCATGTACATCAAAAATTTTGGAGTGTGTAATAAAAAATAGACTTGCTAGCTATTTTAAAGTAGTTATAATACAGTGGAATATGGATTTAGGAAGGGGAGGTCAACTACAGATGCTATATCCAATGTGGTTGACTTTACAGGCTTTGGATGGTTCACAGAAATGCATGAGTATATCTTGCGATTTTTCAAAGGCCTTTGATTGTATACATCATAATATCCCTATGTGTAAGCTTGAATATTACGGTCTGGATCCTGCTGCATTAAAACTATTAAATAGCTTTTTGAAGGATAGGAATCAATTGGTACAAATTGAAGAATCTGTTTCTGTATTAGGAAAGTCTGACATCGGGGTACCACAGGGATCTGTATTGGGCCCTATATTATTCCTAATATATATAAATGACTTGCCAAACAGTTTGCCTAAGTGGAGCTTTGTAAATTTATTTGCTAATGACACCCATGTCGGGATAAAAGATAAGGAAGAGGAAGTTATGGCACAAAAAGTTGGTGGAGTAGTTAGCTTATTAGACGAATGGTTTACTGCTAACAGTATACTACTCAATAAAGACAAAACAAACTGTTATGAAATATTGCTCGGGAAAACAACATACGCTAGATTTTAAATCAAATACAAAAGTTTCAGTCTATGCTATTGATAACACTTTGAGTCATCAAACTCATATTAATAATGCATGTAATAAAATAGCGGATAAAAATTATGCATTTCTTAAATTAAAGCCATTAATCGATTAAAGTACGTTGTTGACTGTGTATTACTCATTCGATAATAAATTATGCTGTGACAATTTGGAGCAACGGCGCCGATGTAAAACGCGTTCTAGTGCTACAGAAAAGTTCGATCAGAATAATCAGTGGTATCCAAAGAATAATATCAGCAAAAAATTTTTTTTGTCAAATTGGGGGTCATGATAATAATATCATTTCGAGTTCTTAGATTTTTGCGATTGTTACACATAGGAAATGAAATTATTTTGCCGGATTTAAATCGCGTATATTTGTTTTTTCAAACAAACCGACGTTTCAACCGTCCAGTCCAGTCAACCGTGACAATGGGACCTGTAAAGGGCGCGATTTAAATTCGGAAAAATAGTTTCATTTCCTAAGTAATATCATTGTTTATTTTTAATTCCTTAAAAGAAGTACATAAAAAGAACCAGAGATATACACACAATACTAGAAACAAAGACAAACTGATAGTACCAAAAACGAGATTGAAAAGAACTGCGAAGCAAGGTTACTGTCTAAAGATAAAATTATACAATGAACTACCACCGACTATATCCGAATTGCCCGAATTAGAATTCAAAAGAAACATAAAAAAATTTAAAATCCATATTAAAAATCCATTCTATAAAGGTGACCAATATTTTGACCTTATGCATTAAAAAAAGTGCTCATTATTTTGTGACATTTAATGTATCTATTGATGATTTATTACGAGTACTTATGCGATTTATTTCATACCAATATATCATTATTAAATTAATATTTTAATGATGTGCAAATCTTTGAATTTAGTTATTTAATACATTATTAAATGTTAGTAGTGAATGACTTTGATAAGATATTTTGTACTATTGACGTGCTAAATGTTGCGAATTTGATTTCGAATACATTTCAATTTTTCGATAGAATTCCAAACTTGAACAAATGAATAAGTTGAGTATGCCCATCGCGCGACTCGCGCGTTTTTGATCGTTAAGAGAGAAGATCGTTTGACAGTTAAGAGGGCTCTCCATGAAGGAAGACGAAACGAGAGTCGTAGTTGAACGTCTAATTAAGACGAAAAGTGGAATGTGATGCATCGCATGATGCAAAGTTCGCTGACGATACTCGCTTGCACGGCGAGTAGCAGCGCGGAAGCGCCCGCCACATCCAAATAAACAGTGTTTGGAGGGTAGTGGGTGAGGGTCACCGGGCGAGCGGGCGGTACACGCGGTAGCGCCATGCGGTGCGGGGAGGGGGGCGCGGTATTTTTAGCGGCTCATTGAGGACGCTCCGCGGCGTCCGCGCCCGCCGCGCCGCCCGCGCCGTCTTCAGCGCCGCGCCCGCGCTGCGGCCGACCACTGCATCTGTGCGCTCTTGTTCGCACAGCAAAAAGGAAGTGCTATACCACTTGCATAAACTACTTACTTGCTTAAACCACGCAAATTTTAACTGCCAATAAATGTTATCTTATTAAAGCCGAATTATCTTGAATAACAACGGGTAGATTTGGGGCAAATTACAAGGGAGTAAATCTTAACTTCAAAATCTTTAATCTCACTACAAATAGTTTAATTGAAAAATTTTATACAGGATCTTATTTAAACCGGTGCCTACATACAAGTGTTGTATTTAATTATCAAATGCGTGAATTAATGTTTTTAGCAATTATGTAATAAATGTTCACTTAGTCAACTTACTGCTTTTGACAGCAAAGATTATAATGAATGTATACAGTTGGTATTCATTAAAATTTTCATATGCGGTGCAATTTTCTACGCCTTCTAATGTGTAACTATAATATTCATAAGAGTTCAATGTATAGTTTTAGATATTCTTCCGATTTAGACGTCATTTTTTGTACGAGAATGGACAGTTGATGATATATGTTCCAAGTTCCATCTTTGTAAATAAGTTTAAGGTGTTTGAAAGAGGAATCATAACAGCTTTAACACACACACATTAATATATATTTATAATGTTACGCGGTTACGAGACTGAAACTACATTTCGCATACCTATGAGAAATCCATTACACCAGTAGCCTAACAAAGTGATTTTGGGGTTTCCTAAACGAGGTTTTTTTTAACCGGCTTTAAAAAGAGGAGGAGATTCTCATTCAACTGTATTTTGTTGTTGTGTGTGCGCAACTACTCCGACATTTGTGAACCAAGTTGGTTGATTCTTTTTTATTGGAAAGGGAGTGCCTCAGCAGTGACTGTGGTCTCATTCCAATTTGAAGAAAATCTTCCACCTAAGGGTGGCATATTAGGGGATGAATTTGGTTTATCGGATTTCACCCACTTTCCGTTAACCAATTTCAAAAAAACTTGGCAAATAGACGTAATTCAAATAAAAACTAAATGTTATGGTGTATTCGAAATCCGACAAAACAGTAAACATTCTCTGCATTTGTAATCTGCTATTTAGTTTTGCTATGCGTCCTCTTTTGATTTTGATTGATTTTAATGATTTTGCACTAATTAGACAACAGTAGGAGATATGTTAGTTGTTTAGTTGTTGTCAGAACCCAAAAGCCCGATTCGACCGGCCTCCAAACTAATAAACACGTCAAACGTTTTCGTATATAAATATTTTCATAACGGTGAGTAGGTACGTATACGGCAAGCGGCACGTATAGTGTATTATCGGGTATCTTGTAAAATGCTCGAGCAGGCATGTATTACAGGTCACTCTGTGTCTTATTGTTGTTAGTGAAACTTAAATCCACCATAGAACGCACTTATCACTTAATTTGGATTTTCTTACAAATTTTTGAGAACAAAGGTCAGTTGTGTCGGATAGAACCCAGGTGTTACACTGCGGGTCAGAGTCCTATCCAATTGAAATTGAAACTTTTTCAAATTAAATATTTCCACCGTCGTCGTGGCATTGCATCACGCGAAGACTAATGTATGATATTTTGGCATATTTAGGGTTGACCAAGAATACACATATTCTGAATGGTATTTTTCAGTTGATACGTATAACTAAAATAGTTGTTCATCTGTTTTTGGTGTTGACTGTGTATACGAAGAGCTAATAACAATAAAATAATAACTCCTTTCCCAAGTTTAAGATAAGGTAATTATAAATGTAAGTTCCTGTTAATAGTTCCCGCCAACGATGTTTAAGTAATAACTCTACCACTATTTTGAGACAATCCGATAGAAAACAGTAACATAGGGCGTCAGCCCTATTCAAGTCATGAAAACTTCTAGTAATAGGAACACGCTCAAACGGTCTGATGGGTCGCTGTGTTGTTCAGTGGACGGCCAGGTCGCGCATCGCTTAGGACAATGAAACTGCTCACAACATTGGTGCATGGCGACACTATCTATGATCAATGTGTGTCCGAGAATTCACATCGTAACAACGAGTTTGTTAAAAGCGTGCTGCTTCAAATGTTTGGTGGAGCCATGGCAAGGCCCCAAAGTGAATGAAGACGGCGCAGGCGGAGGCGCGTGTCGCGACCGCGACCGCCGCACGGCGCGGTGCGCGGTGCGCGACAAGTACGCGCGCCGCGATGCGAGTGCACGGAAGCGGGCGTTCAATTCGGTTAACCTATTTCTCTCCCGGTGAGGCGGCGGTAGCCTCATTCGCACCTACTGCATTAGCATAACAAGATATCTTTTCTTTGTTTGGCCGGCGCTGTGTCCGCTTCGAGGCGACACGGCAGCTTTATTTCATTTCCTGTAAACACGGACCGTGAATACTACGCGATAGTAGGTATACACGCATGGATGTGCCGTGAGAACTTTACGGTGAAGATGGGTAACAGGGACGTTATAAAGAGCGCTTCCCACACTACGCGTTGTCGCAATGTTAGCGGACCTAAAAATCTACCGGACGTTCACTATTTGATATTAAAAATCTTATTTGTTCAAACTATGAAGGTCAAATCTATCTTCACACTTAAAAACTTTGGTTTATTTTGGTGTAGGGGACAAACATTTAACATAAAGTCTCAGAGCCAAAACGGGCCGTTAACTACCCTATGCGGCGTATAACATTGTCGATCGACAGCGCCGTCAACGTCGAGCTCTAGAGGCTGAATTCTTCAGTCGGTGAAGAAAAGGATTTCAGCGCAGCGGGAGAGGCCGTCTCAGGATAAATTTCACAAGCGCACATTTCGAGTAATCACTATCCGGCGAACGCCCGGGACCGCGGATGGCGAGCGCGGCCCGCGGGCCCTACGCGCGCAGCGGCGCCTCGACCCGGAGCGGGCCGGAGACGAGCGCTGGGTGCGGCGAGCTGAGCGCGGCCGGCGGGCGCGGCGGCGCGTATCGACCGGCGCGACGCGCCCCGCCCGCGGTGCGGTCTCACCTGCCCGCTAGTCGGCGGGCGGCGGCTGGCCGGCGGCGGCGGCCATGGCGGACGGGCCGGCGCTAGCGACGCCGCTGGGCGCGCGGACTGCGGCGCGACATGCGGCGCGCCGGGGCTGGGCTGGGCGCGGAGGCAGCGCGGAGCAGCACGGAGGGCGCCGTGGCCGCGGCGCGACTAAAGATCGACCATCGCCCGCCCCGCGCCCCCGCTCCACGCCCCTCGCACCGCCGCGCACGCGCAGACGCGCCCGACTGCGGCCCACATGTCAGTGGCAGCCAGCAAGCGTTCTTCGCTCTAACCGTTGCTTTCAGTACGCGTGAGTAATTTTTTACACTTCATAAATGTAGAACAAGATGTTAATCAAATTCCGTTGTAGCTACTATATGATATAGATCTTCGATCTATATCACGATTTTCCTGGTGTCACAGGTGACTCGCATAATTATCACAGCTCGACAATCGATTGACTGGCTGTGTGCGCGCGCGGCGATGCGGCGCCGTCGTCGCACCTCTGATCGCCGTCGTTGTCGTCTCCCGCGCGACCACATCTTTGCCTGTGAGCTGTCTTGCACAAATCTTACACCAACAATACATTGCGTTTAATTAGGTAATTAAAGTTAATTGAGAAGTTCCAAATTAAAAAGGCGTTAACTGCAACCATGAAACATATTTTGAGCATCGATTGACCGATGGCGTTTATGCGTGGTTGTATACAACTGTTACGGACGATCCGACAATATTCCTCACCCGGAGCAACCGTGAATTGAGTCGTTCAATGTTTTGTTTAATTTCTGGTTTATGCCTTCTTTAATTTTTTAGTAGATGTTTTTGAGTCTGTAATGCCACTACGGCGGGTGATTAACTATATTGAGAAACGACATTTGTTACGCTTACGCCTCCATACCAGTCACTCGAATGTGGAGAGCTAACCCGTATCCACCAGGTACGACTGTGGGGCTATTCCGGGTACTCCTTACGTTTATGTGTAAATCGCGATAAATACCTAGTATTGTGCCAAACCAACATACCTCCTACTTGGTCTAAAACAAGGAAAATTCCTTGTATTATGAACACAAAAGTGAACACTACAACTAGTCTAGGTAGTTGATTTCGTTACGTCAGAACCAATTTAACGATGTTTGTCTCCCATATTGGTCCTATCGGGAATCGTACCTGGAACTTCCTCATCTAGTACCTTCAATGCTAATCGCTGGATCACCCACGGGCCATATGTGATACAGATCAAAATCAACTAAATGCTGGGCCTTTTACGGCTCTATGCCACTTAAGATAAGTGCGGTGCAAAAAGTAAGTTCAGGTGCGACTCTTGCTCTATGAATGTGTTTCGGTTCATGAGAAACTGCGCACAGAATCGACTGTTCCAAAGGAATATTCGGAGCTAATGTGTTTTGAACATATCAGGTAGCAGAAATAAACATATTCCCTAAGGGTAAAATTGTTACTTCCCAAAGTGCTACGTAGTCAAATCGTAATATGTACTGCTTTCTTTCAAGCAGTTCTTATATGAGTGTATGTACTTACGTAAAATTTTCCGGTATTACAAATATAGCAATTGTTTTTTCTAATAAATAAACACACCCGTTTCTTATCGCATAGTATCCGTTCAGTTCCAGCTGCCAGTATATTAAGTATTATTTTCGAATGTAACGTACATCTTCCTTCCTTTTGTCCAGCCGCCAGCGTAGGAATCGGAGCACCTGCATTGCGCGGAAGGCTATTGTGGTTGTTGTGCATTTTAAAATAAAATGTCCTTGTAATAAAAAAGTTATTTAAATTTTTCTCTATATTATTAAATAAATAATAATACCCAAAAGGGGCAATCTGATAATGCTCAGGCGTGCTACGCGCTCGTAGCTCGTAGCGGACGTGCACTCGCTACGCAACTGTGTTTTCTCGCGCCCAAGCAAAGCAATTATTGACTTTGTTAAGTACAAACAGACAGCTGAAATAATAGCAAATCAATATTTACGCAACATACTATTAGAAATGCTTAAAAGAAAGATGTAATAAACATAATGTTTTGACATTTGGATATCGGTGACTTTCATTAGTTCACGGTTATTAGTAATTTAGCAGGGGGGCTTTATTAGTGAATGTGCAAGGCGGCGGGTGCAGGGGGCCGGTGGGCGCGGGCCGGGGACGCAGGACGCAGAGGGCGCACGGGGGCGCAAGGGGCCCTTTGCCGGCGCAGCGGGAGGCTCCAGAGAGATTTCCCTCGACGCGGGCTCCGTTCACAGTACGCCCGCTCTAATTGTGCTCTGGAATGAACTCGTGAATAAGTAGTAAGTGCAAAATTTCCAATGTGTGTAATTTTAACTGTAAACCAACCACTTGCCGGTGAAGCTTTGATACAAATGAATAAGGGCGAAATATTTCATAACTATGAGTGGAATGAGCCCTTTCCGTCGCCGGAAGATGGAAAAAGCTCGCATAAATAAGAAAAGAAGAAAAGCAATGAATGTGCGAAAATAGGTTAATCCAAGTGGAGTATCCGTCGGAGCAGGCGCGGGCAGCAGTCGATAGCGTGAATGAGAGGGCGGCGGGCGGCGGGCGGGGGCGCGCGGCTTGGGTGGCGGGGGCGATCGATGGGCGGCAGTCGCGCCCGGCGCGCCGCCCCGCCCGGCCGCCTGCTGCCCCTCAGCTCAGCTGTGCCGTCGCCGCCGCTGTCGCTCCAGGTCAGTGCTGGCGCTGCTCCCCCCGACTCCCCCATGCACGCCGCCGCGCGCCCAGCGCGCAGGTGCCCGTCGCGTACTTAAGCCTTCTGAAACGAAATGGATCGATAATTTGACTAGTGACCTATCTATCTTCATTGAATAACTACGCGATCAAAGGATATGCTATAATATTTTTGTATAATTCGATTAAATGCGGCTCGCCCAGTCTTTTAGTTCGACGATCGGTCCTTAGTCAGATTAGCAGGTCCGCTAAGAGCGCCGGGGGACCGCCGCCGTGCCCCTAGGAGTGGACGCCCCTGCGTTGCACGCTGCACCACCCTCCCCCCGCGCGCCTCCTTCCTCCAACCAAAACAAAGAAATGCTGCCAGTGGTACAATTTCTTTGTCTGCAATCGATGAAGCGCGCAGCCACGGCGGAGGCGTAGCCGGCCGCCACTATGGCTTGTACTCGGCAATGGGCCGCACAAAAGATCCGTTTTGATTTACCGGGCCGGTCAATGCGACTTATCTATTATGCGTGTAGGTGGGTAAGTTCAATGGTTTTCTGTCATTGATGTCATCTTTTCAAAGCTGTAACTTGACGTGTCCGTTTATTTCAACCTTAATATTTTGCGAGCTTGTGTCCGGCGATATAAACTATGAACAAGAAGGCGGCGTGCGCGCGCATCGACGATTTGCGAGCTGTGATTATCATGGATTTCTTTTTAACTGATTAGGAAAAAAAATCAATTTTCACATGAAAAAAATTGCAGGATTGATTCTGAAACCCCCGGTGCAGTAAGAAGTACATGATGGAGGGGGGCGCAGGCGTGTCGCTGACGCTCGATTGCGAGGATATGTTCAAGGAGATCACCAAGAAACTTTACGGTGAGGAGGCTACCGTGGCTGTGGGCGTGGTAGGCGTAGAGTTCCCCGCGGCCGAGCGCGACCTCGACGACGATCTGCGCCCCGAGGAGCACATCACGGCGTGGGGGCTGGCTGCACTCATGCAGAATGGGTTTCCTCCACCCGGCATTTTACAGGCGAGTGCAGGATTTACCCTGTTTGGTGTCTACGCCAAAATTCCATGGTATGATGTCTTACTGTAATTAATGTGCAGGCGAACTTTACACCGCGAACGGACCCGACGGCGGAGGACCGGTGGACGGCCGCGGAGGAGCCCCTAGCGTGGGCTCACTCTCGCGTGGCCTCGTACAACCCCGCCCAGCGATTGTTCAAGTGCACCGAGTGCGAGTGCGTGGGCTTCCTGGCGCGCGTGGCCGAACACTGGCTGGGGACGCATTCGCAGGCACGCGCCTTCCAGTGCCCGCTGGCGGGTTGTGGCTTTGCAGCATCGTGGGCGCGCAACGTGCGCGCGCACTTAGCGCGCGACCACCACTCTGATCCTGCCGCCGCCGACCACCTGCTGCGCGACAACCCTGCGCTTCTTGACCTTACGCGTTACTTGCAACGCCTCAAGTCCAAGGTAAGTTGTTTAGAGTGGTTACACGCGTATCGCTACACTACGATTTCTAGGCGATTGCATCGATAGAAATGCGCGACCGCATCGATACAGCCGCTTACGTTGAATAATTATGTACGCAAAATCTGTATAGGTTTATGCACATTATTTTCTCTTGTTAATTACATTTAAAAGTGAAATTAATAAATACATAAAATAAAGAAATTAGTTGATTAATTTAAAACGTGAAACGCGTTTGCATCGCTGCTAAAAGTCGCCTTGTGTAACCGCTGCTGCACTGTACGTCGCGTCGAATCGGGAGAGCTCATTTCTTTTTTGTCTTGTTTTAAATAATCGTGGTTATGACAGTGAATAAATAACTCAAATGTTAAACATGAATCCCTAAAATAATCTAAGTCTGACTCAGGCCTTGCCCCCCTGTTTTGACCTTACACGGTCCAGGATGTACCATGATTTCGATCTCTGCGCGATAATGGTGTAGGTAACTTTAAACGTCAACAAATAATATCATACCTATAATGTTAGATAAATATCACACAAATGTTTCATACCACCGAAATGATTTTTTTATCGCACACATTTATATTGTACAAAGAATTACTATAACGTAACCTACTAAAAGTAGTTGTTGTAATTCTATGTAGGTAGTAATGTGCAAGTTCTTCTGGGATTTGTGAAAGTATGTGTAAGCGACTCGGTTTTTTTAGTAGTGTATTTATTTCATTTTAAGTTTAGGCTATAACGTTCAAAAAATAAATGACACGAATATTATGTAATATTCATGATAAGCATTGATGTTTGCTATCACTGTTTATTCTGTAAGTATACTCATATTATGTCTTTAAATTGTCCGGCTCGAAGGACCAAAATGTACAGTCAACTACCTAGCTGTAGCTAGCTGGCTATACATGAGTGGTCAGGGAAAGCTGTACTATCACTAACAACCCTAGTTGCCTACCTAACAGCCTAGCCCTAACCATACGCTACGGAATATATACTTATATAAATAGTAGGGGAAGCCTGTCACCGTGCGACCTAAGGCAACAGACGGAAAGGGGGGAGGATAAGGGTGCTTTAGGAAATGGTTTTCTCACTGCCAGTCTCACAGACTCACAAGACTGATCAGATAAGCTAACGGCTAAAGGTGTCTTGGCCGCAGTGAGAGGATGCTGTAGTCAGGAGTGCTCCGTTGTCAATAAGACAGCGTTGATGTCTGAATTCAAAGAGGGTTTTATTTACAAAACTTAAGCTATTTATACAAAACGGTATTTAAGTGTGTGTAACTATAAACAATATTATTTTTAAATGTATACATAAAGTTAAATACTCTACTCAGCAGCCTAGTTTAGAACGGTCATTGCACTGCTGAGTAGTCTATTGTCATCACTTAGCAAATGTCCGGTCAGGTTGTCTGTTTACGTCGCGTGCACGTGAACACTAACTAAATATCAAATAATATTTGCGATGCAAGGCACCATCACAGTTGAGTCGCGCGACTAACAATAAGGACTTTATATTATTTTTTTATTTATTAATTAAATTCCACTTGAGTATTTTTTATTATCCTGAAAATATTACTGTAATTTTTTGCCGAAAAGAATTATTACAACAATATTGGAATGTAAGTTGGCTGACCATGTTGCGAATTTTTTTTCGTCTGGGATAGGTATATGACTGGTACAGCATTAACAACTTCTTTCTGATTTATGATGGAGCCACCACCTTTGAGATGGCTCTGCTACATATCAACTGGCCACCTTGGATTCAATTGACAAACGTGTCAAGAGGCTTATAGGTGACTCGGAATTAGTAGAGCCGAGCAGAGCCTTGAACACCGCCGTAAAGTTGCCTGCTTATCGGCGTTTTACAGGATATATCACGGAGAATGTGCGATGGAATTACACGATTTAATTCCGCCTTCCCCTTTCCATCATCGGGGGACTAGGCGTAGGCTTGGCTTCCACCCCGATGTTTTGGATAATCCAAAGATTCGCACGAAACGTTACGCTCACATATTTATATGACGAACGTCTTTGGAGTGGAATTTTCTGCCTGCAGACTTGTTCCCTGAACGTTATAACTTGGACCTTTTCAAGGCGAGAGTGAATAGACATTATCTAGGTGCGCAAGCTTCATCGTCGACCTCATCGTCACTTTCCATCAGGTGAGATGGAGGTCAAATGCAGACTTACATTAGAATAAAAAAAAAGAGCAAAGATATACCTAAGTAATTAATATCATAAGATGCGCGCGTTCGAAAAAATCACTGATACAGTCAGAAACCTCGCCACTGATCGAACCAGAAACATTTTGTTTATCTGAAAGGTTGGTGCAATTCAGGTGGAGCAGGCGCGGAACGAACGGCGTAGCGGCAGCCCCGTGCCAGGCGACACGTCGCCGGGGGGCGCGGGTGCAGGCGCGGGCGCAGGCGCGGGTGTGGGCGACGCGGGCAAACGCTACGTGTGTGGCGCTTGCCCCTACGCCACCGACCGTCGAGACCTCTTTACGCGCCACGAGAACATCCACCGCGACGAGAAGCCTTTCCACTGCTACATCTGCCAGAAGCAGTTCAATCGCGCCGACCACGTCAAGAAGCATTTCTTGCGCATGCATCGCGATCAGCCGTAAGTCTGCTGTTCATATATATTCACATTCGACACTCAGCTTTCTTGACCCTGCTTTTCCCCGAAGGTATGATCTGAATCGCATTCGTCGAGCGTCGAATAAGGCTCAACAGCAGACGCAAGCACCGCCGCAGCCGCAGCCGGCCCCGCAGTCCGCGCCGCAACCACAGCAGGCGCCGTCGGCCACGCCGCTTTACTACACCAAGCCGCCGGGCGAGCCGCCTCCCACGCCGGCTGTGGTGAACGCGCCCTCTCTCGAGTACCGCGCGTCGCCCGTCAAGCTGGAGCGCGCCGTGCTGGCCAAGGCGGACGGCTCGAGTGTACTGCAACTGCCACAACATAAGCTGCAAGTGGCGCCCTCGGCGGGATCGCAACCCGCACCCCCGCCCGTGTCCGCCCCGGCTGCGTCTGCCGGCCCCGTTCGGCGCAAGGTACCTCCGCCGACCGAACGGCCTCTTGACCTCGTCGCTCTCTACTTCTAAACATGTCGTCCAACTGGCCACCGAATAGAGCGTTTGTGTGTCTCAGGGCGAGCGCCGTTACGCTTGCTGCTACTGTGCATGGTCGGGCGTCGACAATTGGTGTCTGAAACGGCATCTCAACACGCACCTCAAGCCATTCGCGTGCTCGCTTTGCGAATACAAGGCGGCACGAGCCGAGCGGCTCGCTACTCATGTGCACAAAGTGCACAATAAGAAGGCCTGCGCCAAGTGCCCCTTCCTCGCCGATGACCAGCAGCAGCTGGCGCACCATCTACGAGACGCACAGTCAGTATCTGTATAAAGATTATACTTTGTTGTACCCATTTTTTGTTTTATGTCATGACGTCGGTACCCTAGTCATGTAGTAGATTTGTTCTCATGTCCAGCCACATCGAAAACCGCAACCTAAAGGTGCCGTCGACGAGTGTGAACCGCGTGAGCACTGTGACGACGAGCGCGAGCGGCGGTGCGGTCGCGAGCGCGGCGTCATTTCCCCCGCAGCCTCCCCCGCCGCCGCAGCAGCAAGCGCCCGCCCAGGAGGTATCGACGGCCGGAGCGGCCGCAACGGCAGGGCGAAGACGCGAATCTCGCGCGGCCGGCGCCGCCCGCCTCTTCGGATACCTGGAGGCATCGGACGGCTCGGGCGACGAGTTCGACTCACCGTTAGAGTATGCGCCGGCGCCTGCCGCCGCGGCCTCAGCACACTACGCGCGCGACAAGGAGAACGCCGCACCCTCTGCGCCCCCGCTGCACCATGCCATGCACCATGACCACTGCCTGCGCTATTAAATGCCGCCGTCGTTCGCTCGTCTTGATGTCCCTCGTACCTGTGTCGTTCGTTATTACACGTTACAAAAATAATCACCTACTTCCAGTTTTATTTCAGCTCGTTTCATTTTTCTCCCTAACCCTAACCTAAACCCTAGGGAAATTTCTTTCCTGCTTTTGCAGCAGCTACGGGCAGCTAGCTTTTACAACGTTCAATGCAGTGGTCTTAGCGCCGAGTATATTCGAGGCCATGAAAGTATTAGTACCTATTATAGTACGTAAGAGCATTAATAGGTATGTAGCGGTTTGAGTATACTTTCCAGAATTTAATTGTCACCTAACCAAATTGTCAACAAACAATTTTACACTACGTACAGTCAAGAGCACATCAAGCTTGACACTTTGTACTTTGAACCGTTCTTATCGTACGCTGCATAGAGTTGGATTTAAATCTTAATGTCAAGCTTGAAATATTTGTACCTACACATTGACAGAAATTCAATATTTTATATTTATAAAAAGACATTCATATATACTCGTATATAAAATAAAATAAAAATATAAAATAATATCAAAATCACATTTTCGCATGTGTGCCTAATATTTTGCGTTCACAAATATTTAAACAATCATTGTTGACTTCACGGCCTTTGTGGTCGAGTGGCTTGCACACCGGTTTTCATGGTGTCGTCGTCTCTGGTTCGATCCCTGGTTGGGTTAATGGACAACATTTTTCTTTTTCTTCATATGTCCTTATCCCATGGGGTTGGCACTTAGACTATGGAAACTTTTTTCCACCCTCTAAGGGTTGGCACAACAAAATGTTTAATGTAGAAAATTAACTTTTCTATATTGTCTCGGGTGAGTCTATGTGTTTGTGGTACCGTCGTTGTTTCCGATTTCCAAGTGTTTTAGTTACTTAGTGTGGGATTCGAGCTTAGAGGATGGAAAAAAAAGGATCAGAGCCACGTATGTGATGTTGTCTATTATTTATTCATTGCCCCGGCTGTAGACAAGTTAACGTTTTCTGACATTGATTTTGACTCAGAATTAAATTTTGATTTAGGCGCCGTACAAACGTGTGTCTTGTGTTGGATACAAGCAACCACATATTGGGGCCCGTCCATACAAGGTAGCGTTCAAAACTCGATTTTCCAATTGTGAGTAATTAAAAAAATCTATACGTTAGCGTAGTCGTAATAAAGTATCACATCACGCGTAAAATATTGAGTCGTTAACTGTTTTCAGTTGTGAAGTGTATCAGCTCAAAAATTGCTCTTTACGCTAAATGATAATTATTTCGTAACGTCACGTACGTTTTCGTTTAGTTTATGTGGAATCTTTAGATATTTATTTCTTACTTTGTAACCTCCAAAAGGATATCCATATTGCGTTTTTTTGAAAAATCGTGTCCGCCACCTTGTATTTACAAATAAATAGCACTTATACGTAATGAGCATCCCCAAATACCTCGAAAAGGATACCCATATTGCATTTTTTTGAAAAATCGTGTCCGCCATCTTGGATTTACAAACAAGTGTTATATTCGTAATGAGCACCCCCAAATACCTCGAAAACGATACCTAACTTGCCATTATTCGAAAAGTCGTGCCCGCCATCTTGGATTTAGAAATGAGTGCCATATTCGTAATGAGCATCCCCATATACCTCGAAAAGGATGCCCATATTGCATTTTTTTGATAAATCTAGTCCGCCATCTTGGATTTAGAAATAAGTGCTATATTCGTAATGAGCACCCTTAAATATGTCGAAAACGATAACCAACTTGCCATTATTTGAGAAATCGTACCCGCCATCTTGTATTTAGAAATGCGAAAAGTCGTGTCAGCCATCATGTATTCAGATATAAATGCCGTTTCCATAAGGATTACCAAAAATAAATTTTGGAAAATTCTTGGCAACCATCTTGGATTTAGAAATTAATGCCACATTCTCAATGAGCACTCCCAAACAACTCGAAACGTCTATAATTCTCGTTGTTGATCGACAATGTCGTAGGCACCTTTATATTGGAATAAATACAAACCTAACTAAATACAAACCTTGGATTACACCAGGACTTATTCGCTGTATGCGTCATAGGGATAAACTACATATGAAGGCAAAAAGTAATCCAGCTAATTTAATTCTACAAATATCATACAAAAGATATAGGAACTTTTGTAACGATCTACTTAAAAAAGTTAAAAGCTGTTATGATAAAAAAGAATTGGAAAAAGCTGGTACAGACAGTAAAAAGGTTTGGAAATATATAAAAAATGTAACCTACATATCGAAACAGCATAAATCATCTACAGGATTATTAAATAGCCACTCATCTGATCGTATTGCTGTTAACAAAGCAAATGAATTTTTCGTTAATGCAGGTAAAAATCTGGCACAAAAAATCCAGAGTTTTCCGCTTACTCAACCACGTTGCTCTCAATCAATCTGTAGTAAGTCTCTGGGATCATTTGTATTATTAGATACGGACGAAAGTGAGGTTGAAAGAATAATTGTAAGCTTAAAAAACGATAGTGCTACTGGTTGTGATAACATATCTAACAAAATACTAAAACAATTCAGGCACATTCTACTTTCACCGCTTACGGTCATTTTGCAAAAATGTTTAACAAAAGGAATATTCCCCACGTGTTTAAAAAAAGCTGTTGTGGTCCCGGTACATAAATCTGGTAACCAAGAACAAATAACTAATTATAGACCTATTTCGTTACTGCCAGCAATATCTAAAATATTAGAAAAACTTATTAACAATAGACTTGTCTTGTATTTGGAGAGACATTCCATATTATCTAAAACACAGTTCGGTTTTAAATCTAAATTATCGACATCTGACGCCGTGCATCACCTTACGAATTTTGTAGCAAGGGAACTAGACAAGGGTAACAAAACTGTGGGTATTTTTCTAGACCTAGCGAAGGCTTTTGATACAGTTTACATCCCTGTGCTGTTACAGAAGCTTGAATCGCTTGGTATAAGGGGCATACAGCTTAAATTACTCGAAAACTACCTGGAGGACCGATCCCAATGTGTTAAAATAGGTGACATTCACAGTTCTGATCTGAAGTGCACTTCATTTGGAATTCCTCAAGGAAGTATTTTAGGACCAACACTTTTTCTGATTTACATTAATGACCTTTGTAACCTAGATTTACAAGGTGGAAAGATCATATCCTATGCTGATGATACTGTTCTACTCTTTTCTGCAAACTCTGACAAGGAGGTATACGACTATGCACAGCGTGGATTCAATATAGTAAATAACTGGCTCCAACATCATTTGCTAACACTAAATACGGATAAAACTTGTTTTATGCAATTCCATATGCGGAAATCAAAGTCATTTATATCTAACCCTAAACTATATGCTCACCATTGTTTTGACCCTACTAACAACCTGTGTAAATGTCCAGACATTGCTATTACTAACGAGATAAAGTATTTAGGTGTTATATTAGATGACATCCTATCCTTTAAACACCATATCGAAGCACTAAGCGCCCGACTCCGTAAGTTAATGTTTGTGTTTAAAAAACTGCGCGTTTCTGCTGATTTTAAAATAATCAGGCAAGTTTATTATGCATTATGCCAATCATTAATTACTTACTGCATTACATCATGGGGTGGTATAGCTAAAACTACTTTACTAATCATTGAAAGAGCCCAGCGAGCTGTCCTAAAGGTTTCTACCTTCCGCCCTTTCCGTTACCCCACTGACCTTCTGTATAAGTCATGTAAAGTATTTACTGTAAGGCAATTATTCATTAAGTCCACAGTCCTCAAACAGCACGTATTGCTCCCATATATTACTGAAAACACTAATAAAAGACGAAAAGATATTGTCTGCCCCAAAATTATATCATCAAAACATACTTTTATTTCAAGATTTTTTGTATTTCTTGGACCATTTTTGTACAATAAATTAAACGCTAAATATTCCATTTATAATTTCTGTTGCTTTAAGGTAAAGAAAATTCTCCAAGAAGCTCTTCAAAATATGTCCTATGAGGATACAGAGAATTTATTTATTATCGTAAATTAAATGTTGTCTTGTTTAAGTGTACATTTTTTATTTATTTTTTTATTTTTTTTAATGGCAATTTATTATTTAATTGTTTAATTTTATTTCATAAGATTCTCCTAAAAAGTATTTATAATATTAATAGTATCCACATTTATAATTAGTAGTACTTTTTACCTGAAATACAGGAATTTCCTAGTTCAGGTACATGTGTTATTTTTACATTAAATCGCATAAGTAGTCTTTAGTTTTCTCTGTACATTATGTTACTGAATAAACAATTTTATTATTATATTTTATTTTATATTCCGTTCGTTACCTTTATTTTGTCAAAATAATCAAAATGAATACTACCATTAAATAGTTTCAAAACTCGATTTACGAAAAATATTTGTAAATAGTTTTCGCCTTGCTTACGGGTTTTTATGGGATTTTTACGTTTGTTTGACACTATTCTTCACACTTGTATTCAGAATACTCTATATAACTCGATTACCACTGACTGAACCAGTGACTGACATACTTGTTCTCCCAGAAGGAGTCGTGGTGGGTAGAAATGATGTACGGGAGTCGTGATCGGATGGCTCCGCTGAGTACCAGAAAAATCCGAAATCTTGGACTGCATCAGGTGGGACCCCGGCTGCGCGGCTAAAGTATAACACCTACCGGCAGGGTCGTCAAACTGAAAATGGCCGCCACTCTGGGCAGTTTCTACCGGAAGTGAAAAAAAATCAAAATTCGAATAAACAGGATGGCCGCCATGCAAATTTCAGAGCCCTATAGCTCGGCGAGTATTGGAGATGGGCGGGGGGGTCCTCGACCAAACGTCAACTGCCGGAGAAAAAATTTTTTCAAGATGGATGGTGATTCAAAATGGGGGCCCAAAAAAAAGTGCTCCGATCCGGCTCAAATTTGGCATGCGGCTGTGTATGGGGTTCACAATAGGAATATACGGTCGCGATTTCGATTCCGCCATTTTCCAAGATGGCCGCCATACATGTGAAGTTTCTGCCCTTTGGCGTCGTTTTTCTCCCAGATGGAGGGAGGGAGGGTAAAAATTATGTACAGGAATTATGGTTTCACGGGTTTAGTGAGTATGAGAAAGCATCGAAACCTTCAAAATATGCTCCGCATCAGGTAGCAACCCAGCTGCCTGGCGAAAGTATGCTTCTTGGCTAATAATCTTCAAACAAATGTTTATCCGTACACCCTGGACAGTTTCTACCGGGAGGAAGAAAAATTCAAAGTTCGAAAAACAAAATGGCCGCCATACAATTTCCGGCCGGTATCTCGGAAACTCTTGGAGATAGGTACATCATGTTCAAACTAATATAGTAGAAAACGATAGGAGCCAACTGGCAGTCGAAATTATTTCAAGATGGTGTACTTAAAATGGCTGCCAGAAATAAAACTGCTCCGATCCGACTAAAATTTGACATGCGATCGTATAGGGGGCTCATAGTATATATCTGTGAACGAAATTTGGATTCAGCCATTTTCCAAGATGGCCGCCGTACAAGTGAATTTTCGGTTTTTTGACCAGCATTTTTCTTCCAAAAGAAGAGCGAGTGTATAAGAGTAATGTATGCAAATAATGGTTGGGTGGATTTGGTGAGTATCAGAAAGTACCAAAACCATCGAAATGTGCTCCGTATCAGGTAGGACCCCAGCTGCCCGGCCAAAGTATACGTTTTAGCCCTAAGGTCTCTAAACAAATGTTGCTCCACATCCTTGGCAGTATCTACAGGGAGTAAAAAAATTCAAAATTCGCAAAACAAAATGACCGCCACTCCCACTCAAAGTCAAACAAAGAGAATTCTCTACTGAAATATGAAGGTCAACTCCCAATTTGTCACCAGATACAAACAAAGCCCTCGCGGGCCGCTTTAGCGACCCGGCTCAACGCGCGCCATCTAGTTATATATATAAAGCTACAAGTTTAGACTCACTTAGAAAAATAGAACGCTTACTTCGCTATATGGTAGAAAAAAGATATTTATACCGTCGTAAATGGATAGGCTCCAAGGCAAAGAACCAAACATGAAAAGACCTGAATGTGGAAAATGTAAACGAGTGATCAACCTCATCATGATTTGTAGGCCACAAAAACTATAATACATGGGAGGAGGGATTTTTGTGCATTTTTATATTCAGCCTTGTCAATTTCCGCGGGAAGTAAAAAATGTTCGGAATTCAAATAAACAAGATGGCCGCCATACAAATTTCAAAGCTCCCTATCACGGAAACTATTAGAGATAGGTAGGAGGTGCTTGAAGGAATGTCATAGAGGGTAACACTGGTCAACTGTCTGGGTTCAAAAAAATTCAAGATAGATATGGGTGAGGGTTTTTATGAGTCCTTAATCATAATTTGCGGTCAAAAATTTCTTTTCGCCATTTTTTTAATATATTTTTTCGTTAAAAATAGCTGCCAAGAGAGATTTGCTCTGATTCGACTGAAAATTGGCATGTGAAGGCCACTAGAAATAATAATTTGTGCTCAACATTTGTTTTTCGCCATTTTCAAATATGGCCGTCATAGAAGCGTTCGTTGGCGGCAGAAAAAAATTGCTGATCCCTTTGAAAATTGGCATAAGGAGTGCTTGATACTAATTTGTATTCAAAATTGGTTTTTCGCCATTTTTCAATATGGCTGCCATAGAAGTGTTTTTGGCGGTAGATGAAAATTTGCTCTAATTCGATTGAAAATCGGTGTATGGGGGAGTCTATGGGTGTTTAATGATAATTTGCGGTCAAAATTTATTTTTCGCCATTTTTCAATATGTCTGCCATACAAACTTTTTGGCGGCACATGGAAATTTGCTCTATTTCAGCTGAAATACAGCATGTGGGGACCTCTATGGGTGTTTAAAAATAATTTGCAGTCAAAATTTACTTTTTGCCATTTATCAATATGGCCGCCATTAAAGAGCTATGTTAATTTTTTTAAATCATAAGTGCCGAGGCCGTAGGCCGAGGCCGTAGGCCGAGGTGTAGCGGAGGGCGAAGCCCGAAGCGTCCGCACGCCACCTTACGTAGGTAGTATACGGGGACTAGATTCCACAATTGTTCAAAATGTAAGGCATACTTACTCAACTTATACAACTTATAGCGTTGTTGTATTTCGACCGTCTCTCTGTTAGAATCTTTTTTACTGGAACCTATGCCAAAAAGAGAAGTATTTAGGGAAAAAATGCCAGAAAATGACATTCACTTCAAATTTCTGGTCCCAAACTAGGGAATTTCCTGTGCTATGACTACCAGAGTAACGATAATTCTGAAGGCAATACCCAGAATACCCTGACCAGAACGAACTTAAAAATATTTTTTTCATAAATTGGCTCAAATAAGAATATGGAACCTCCTCATCAAGCGCCCATAGTACTAATCACTGTGCTACCGAAGAGCATAAGCACACCCCCAAATCTGAAAGCGACCACGCGCCGCAGGCCGTATAGGGCTCGTATTTTGTAAAAAAAAACAAAAAAGAACGATAGAAACTCCTTTCTGTGTCCCGGTTAGATGACAATAAACAGCCGTACGGTGCATAATTCTCGGCCATTATAAATAGTAATGTACAATGATGTTAAATATTAACGTACAAGTTTCGTTATGAATAAATGAAAGCTATATTCAAATATCAAAACCGTCTTAGCGCGAAAAGGCTCGCCGACAGCCTTGTTGTCATTCAGTCAATGTGACTGTCAATATGTGAGACGTGGTGCGATATCTAAAGGTTTGGAGGTGCGGAGAGGGTCCATTCTCGTTACTTTTTTGTTCTATGCCTTCAGGAAGACCTTACGACGTTTTCTATGTGCTTCTTGCGGATCTTTGTTTTTGGTTTTCAACGACTTTTTTGTCATGGTGCCATCTGTGAAAAGTTCGTCACTTAGAGAGGTACATACCTTATTAGAGCTACCATCGCTGACTAGAGATGTCGCCATAATTATAATTTTTAAATTGATTGAATGTCACGTTTTACTACCATGACATTCAACTTTTTTTGTGAAATTACTCCACTGTTTAGTTTGTTATAATTATTAATAACAAAGATCGAACACTTAGAAAAATTCTCTCGGTTCTCTTTGTCAATTAAAGTACGGAACGAAGTAGCAGATTTTGTATTTTTCTAATTACTCAGAAAATTTTCGGAATTTCCACTAAATTACTCAACAGTAGGCAGAGAGTTCAAAGCTATGGGAATGACGGAGGGCCCACGGGACGCGCTTAGGGGACGTGTGTAATATTTACGATAATTCTAAAATTATTTACATTATACTACAGTGTCTCTGAACAAACAGGCTTATTATTTTACTCATTCTTAGCAAGTAATTTTCCAAGCCAATAGATATTTTATAATAAATAGGTGTTTAAATAAAAACCAAACACTGGTAAAATTATGGTGGGAATCAAACTTCATGAATGTAGAGAACATTCACGAAGTTTTATTCCTAATGTCAAGATGACATTTAATCCACGCTACGCCACACGTCAATGTCAAAACTGGTCAAAACAAAACAAAAAGTGTTGTAAGAAAACCCGAGTTGGGTTTATAAATCCTGGAACGACTAATTGAATAAACTCTGTTTGAGAGTGAAACGAAAGTTGGTATACAATGTATTTACGAAACAAAAGTGCTAGACACTATCGTAGTCCCTATGTAAATAAACGCTAGCTGCAGAATTAACTCTTTGGATATGGTATAGCCATAGCCAAAGTATTAAGAATGGATGCAATTTGTCGCGCTTGCCTAGGCGTGGGTGCGAACGTGTCTATACTCGCGTCTGACGACGGCGATGGCGTGCCGTATAGCAGTAAGATGCAATTGTGCACAGGCGTAGTAGTGGCGATCGGCGACGGGTTGCCATTAAGGCTGTGCGCGCCGTGTGTGGACGACCTCACGCGCGCGTTCAAGTTCGCGCAGCGTTGCGCGGCCGCCGACCGAGCGCTACGCACTGCGCCGCTGCAGCCCTCGCCCGTCATCGCTCTAAAGCATCATGAGGAACTCGACTTTGCAATCAAGGAAGAGCAGGTCGTAGCGGAGATAAAGCAAGAGGTCACTGAAGAATATTACGATGATAACTTTCAATCAGAAGAAACGCAAGACTATACAGTGAAGAAAGTTGATCATCAAAATCGTGAAGTCTGTGATAGACTTTATAGAGTGAAAAAAAGATGCAAAAAGAAGATGAAGCGAGGCAAATTAGGTCCCATACAGTGTGTTGTCTGTGGTTTGATGACAGTGTGTCGTTCTGCAATGGAGACACACATGCGCACCCACACAGGAGAAAAGCCATTCCCTTGTGAATTGTGCAGCCAACGCTTTCCCAGCAAGGGTGCACTCAAAAGGCACTCCACTACCAACCATTCCCAAAGAGAGCGGAAGTTCACTTGTGAGACTTGTGGCAACAGCTTTTATACAAAGAGTGATATAATAACGCACATGCGCATACACACTGATGAGAAGCCATATGTGTGTCCTTTTTGTTCCAAGCCCTTCAGGCAGATCGCTTCCCTAATTCGACACAAGCGTGTGCACACAGGGGAGAAACCCTTCTCCTGCCCAGAATGTGGCAAGAAGTTCAGTGATAAGAACCTGGTGAACAAGCACCTGCACGTGCACAGTGATGAGAGAAAGTTCAGCTGCCATCTCTGCAATAAAGCTGTGAAGACTAAAACTGCCCTCAATACACACATGAAGCTGCATTCCAATGAAAAACAAAACATTTGCAACTTTTGTGGGATGGCATTCGCCATGAAGGGTAACTTGCAGACCCATATTCGGCGTGTACACTCTGAAAAATCGGGGCAGTGCTCAGTTTGCCTGAAGACATTTTCTAACGTGGTGGAGCATATGCGCAAGCACACAGGCGAGAAGCCTTATGCGTGCGGCACTTGCGCACAGGCATTCGGCAGTAAGCGTGCGCTGGCCCATCACACGGCCTTCAAGCATGACAATGTAGATAAGTACAAGTGCTCAGCAGAAGCATGCACACGCAGCTTCCCTACTGCCGTTATGCTGCAGTTCCACCTGCTGAAGCAGCATGCTCAGCATACGCCATTTGTGTGTGCGCAGTGCGCACGCGGCTTCTACCGCGCCAGCGATTTATCGCGACACCTGCGAGTCACACATGCACAGACACTCATTAAGGTGCAGATAAAGACTCTCCACTCCTAAGTTACTAAATTAGACCAGTAAAGATTACATTACTTTATGGTATTTATATTTTATTACTATATAGTTTAGTTTTGGTATGGTAGGCATATAAAATATTTGGGAGTCCAAATTATTTGTTAAAAAGTGCTCCATATGCTGTGTACAAATTTACCGTTTAAAAAAAACCGACCTCAAAAGTTCATGGAATTACACCTATTTGCCAAGTTTTATGGAAACCAGTTGCTGGAAATCGCGCGAAACCGGATTCATCCCCCAGTTTGCCACCCTTAGAGGGGAATATTTTCTTCAAATTTAAATGGGACCACAACCGTGGTACCCACTTTCCAATAAAAAATAAATCATCAAAATCGGTTCATAAACACACAAAAAACTTACTGTCGTATTGAGAACCTCCTCCTTTTTTTGAAGTCGGTTAAAAAGTAAGAGGTGTATGGGTGATTGTATCTACTTAATTATTTTTCCGTGTACGATTTTCTAGTCATTTTACTTTATCAAATAAATAAATTATTATTTATAGTTTCTATCATTGTCTTTAATTGCACGCACCTTGTACGAGTTGGCAGGTTGTTGATGCTTATAAGTACGTACTTAAAGTAAGTTTCCGTTATTAATTTAATAGAAATTGTGTTGGTACATCACCATTGCCATTGCTTGCATTAGTAGTTATGCGCGGTATTGTATATGAATTGATAAACGTGCAAGAGAGCGATTTCCGCGGTGACAACGATGCTCAGTTTGCGCCTGCAGCAAATGCTTAGCAATTCCGGCAGTTAGGTAGATCGTTATTCGACTGCCTACATACTTGCCTCTGCGGGCTCTGCCCCTGGTTCCTGAACTTATTTCCACCTACTTATGTACGTACGTACATATACGAGTAGTACATAGTATTAGTAGAAGGTAAGGAAAGAAATGCGTGGTGCATTTCTAAAAACTTAACGTGTACGTTGATTTTATGAACACCATTGCATCATTTACGTTAACATTAAAGTACACGTTTTGCTTATGACCAAATAATTTTTTAGATAGGTGTCTGTAACTTGTTCTATTCTACAATGTGTTTGACTTAACTGAAACTGCTTAAAGTTCTCGTAATTATTAATTTAACCGGTGAGTGTCAAAAACTTTTCCCAGTATTAATTAAATGTTAATGTTAAAGTTCGGCAAGCCGAGCCTGGCGACTCACGGGACCCTTCAAAATCATCAGACCGAAAATCCTTTGCTGCCGGTCCTAGTGAGGCTTCCGACCGAGATCCAAAATGTGCACCCTTTTTCCGACTCCGATGGCATCGGTTAAACAGCGACAGGTAAATGTACGGTGAGTACCTTTCTCTTTTGCACAGGTAACGTTATCGACGGTCTCGCTCTCGCACCAATTAGGCGAGGTGGTGGCGGTGGTGGCACAGAGGCGGGCGCGGCGCGGAGGACGTTAGCCCGCGACCGGCCGCCGCGACGTACGTGTGTTGCATCGCGCTCCGCAGTTCCGCAGCCGTGGCAGTGCCGTGATGTTCACGCCGTGATACACTTTCTCATGTGTGCTTAACTTTCTTCCTACTCAAGTGATATTCTTCAAGTTTCGCAATGGGTGAAGTAAGTACAGATTTCATTGTCCACTGTTGGTGCGGAATGCGAACATGCTCCAGTTAGATCGGACGCTCTAGTCCTACGATAGTAATCTTGTAGGTCGACGGCACCGTGCTGCGTCCGCGAGGGTAGAGGCCGCGATCGCGGATTGCGGTTCGCGGTTCGCGGGTCACCGCTCGCATATTCCTCCAGATTAATTAACGCTTTCGATGGCGAGAGAATAATGGTGCGCAGGCTTGGGAATGTGTGCTACTTGCGAGTCGGTAGAAAGAAAGCTCTGACGGATTGGGCAGCCGACGCCGACGCCGCGCCACATTGGTTCAGCGTTCGAGATTAGCCGTGTACGGTTACAATCTGATAATACGATACCGATAAAATATCTTTGATATTTGTTGGCCACTTGTTCTTCTATCGACGTTCTACAAGATCTTTGTGATTATTTTGTTGTCTCATCTTTTAATTTGTCACACACGATTAATAATTGGAAACACTTGAAATTATCCACATACTACCATACCACATAATAGTCCACAGCAATTTACCTTTTAGTAGGCAGGTCCTTGATCCTGTTTTCATACAAAAGCTATAGCAGTTTTCAAAGTTCAGTGTTTGGTACCAAAATCTCAATGTGATATTAAATAAATATGTTTGAGCTTATTACACCGCCCATTTTTACTTTTTTCTTCTATTTATGACAATTTAACTTACCTTGCGAATGGTTATAATACCATATTGCGTTTTTAGTAGGTAGTAAAAGATGAGGTTTGACACGTATGTGTAAAAGCTCTTGTGTTAAAATCAGGTTCAGTCATTGTGTATTTTCTTCAATTGTAGAAATATTTTGCCCACTGCTCGCACAGGCCGAAGCAGCGATGTCACTTTTATTTATCTCAAGTAGGTACCTGACTTAATATAAGAATAGACAAAACAGGTGAGTTTAAACCACTTGTAATATTTACTGCAAAACCGAACGACTTCTTTATTTATTGTCTGTTATTGTAAATCCGTTTAGCCGTCACAATGCGATTAATTAACAAATTCCTATACCTAGCTAAACTTTCGTGTTTGCCTACTCTAAAACTAGTGGAATCTGAGACGAAATCGATAAGGCTATGACAGATCCGTGCATGAGCATTATATTAAGTGTATAATATATTAACATTATGTGTATAAGTATATACCTACACTTGTAGGGTTTCGTGCAAGTGGAATCCGACGTACCGAAACTTGATTCTTAATTTTGTCTGTTTCAGTCGCTGCTGAAAGAGGATCCCCTCTCTAGGATCCAAAGAGAGATTATTGAAGTCACTGAAAGAGAGCGTGAGTTCAAAGAGGGGCATTTTAGGATAAACCGACTTTTCTCTGAGTCCACGATCGACACAAACAAACAAAATGGCCATATGAACGGAGATACTGACGACAAGCTTCCGCGATCTTTGAACAGGGCGGTGTCCACTTCGCAGTTGATGGGTCCGGTGACTTATTCACCACCTGTCGCCGCGCCTGCTCCCCTACTTAACACCAACGGCTACACTCGTCGCTTCACGCCGCAGAGCGGCACCAAGGGCATTATGCAGAGGTTCATCGCCAACAAGGGCAAACTGCCAGCACCCTCGCCAGTAGTAGCCGCCTCGCCGGTCGCGCTGGCTGCCCCGCCCGTCTTCACGCCGAATCCTGTCGTGACGCCTCCTGCTCTCGCGACGCCGGCGATTAACCGCACGCCCGAAGGAAAGCCACTTCGTAAAGGATACGTTCCTGTGGAGGAAAAAATACAAAAGGAATTAAGAGAGATGAAAGATAGAGAGCATGAGCTGAAGCGCATGCGGAAAAAACAAAAGCCTTTTGACATTGATCTAAGCGACAATGAAACGAGTTCGGAATCTGATGATGAGGAAATTCCTTTGCCGGGCAAGCTTAGGGTGACCAAATCGATCGGCGAGTTGTACGAGGCCCTAACGGATGAATTGCGTTCACCGTCACCTAAAAATAGCTCAGGACACGAATCCCTGGGTAGCCTGAAGCCGGCCAAGTCTCTGGCTGAGCTTTGTCAACTGGCGCCGGGACAGGAGTTCCTCGCTCCGAGCTCAACGCGCCTCATCGCGCAGTGGGAGTCTATCATCCAGCAGAAACAAGAGGCTGGTGCAGCTTAGAACAGCATTTAAGAATTGATACAAACAAAAAAGGATAATTAATAAAAAGTTTTGGGTTTCAAACGCAGAAGCCGTTGCATAACTCGATGTCCAAAGTCAGTTGTTTCGGCTACGACCGTGAGAAATATAACTTATTAAGTTAGGTCAGGCAGGCGATCGCGCGGTGTGAGTGTACTAAATAAACTCGAGGAGTTGCAGTGTGAAAAATTGATAAAGCAGTGGTGCCGTCGCGTCGTCACTGGGGTGATCTCGTCTAGATCGGCTGACGAGTCAATCGCGATCGATTTCTTGCGGTACTCATCGATCGCACAGCAATTAATTTTCTCCAGATTGCGAACAATGCAAATGATGGTTATCCGTAACGGCAATTACCTCGAGCATGCGCTGTTGGAAAGCGGCCGATATTTGCTGCGAACTCATCTCCCGATTGTGAGTAAAACAGTTTCTTCCTATTGTTCAACGCTCCGGTAGCTTGCTGAAAAACTTGGTAGATTTTGCCGGCGGAGCGCCGGCGTCGCCCGCCTCTGGCGCTTTCCCGCGCTGCGCCGCGAGTTGTATCGGATGTCCCACACATGCGCTTCCATTGTATCATTCTTTGGGAAAATTCTCAACGGATACAAAAACTTAATTAATTGCAACTTGGAGCTGGTCCTGTCGGTTGCTGTAATTTACATTTTTCGGTTTATCAGAGCACCTGTTTTGGATCGAGACGATTACGAAACGCAGCGAATGTACTGCATTCTGTCTAAATGAGACTCGTATGATGTCGGTGAGAATACCCGCGGCCGCGGCCGGCGCCTGTACATACTTTCGTTGATTGCATTCATCACGCCTCATGGTTACAAATTTTTTGAAACAACTCTTTCTCGTGTTAGCTAAATATGCTGTGATGAACCGATGAGTACTTATACGACTTATACATTTATTTACGTACTCGTCAAAAAGTTGTGCCTTCAAAAGCAATTTACCTCAACGTCTGGCTGCGGCCTGCTGTGGACATTTTGTGAGCTGAATCAAAAGACGTAGCTCCTGTTTGTTTAGACTGATGTAAGCGTAGGACGGGTGGTCTTTGCCAGAGTAAAGCAACTGATGGCTTCGAAGCTGGACTTCGAGAGTTCAATGTTTACTATTTATTGTACTGAAACGTATGTCGTTAATTATCTTGTTGTTAAAGTTGTGTAGTTTAAGATAGATATATGATATTTATATGAACGAGTTAAATCTTAACACAATACAAATTGTTATAATCTACAAAAGCAAAATTATTGAAATTTTGAACAGTAGACGTATCAAAGAGTGTGCCTTATTTTGGTGCACGTAGCGAGTAGTTAACAGAGGAGTGCTGTAACACAACGACGATGCGCGATGTCGCGATGTCGCGACGGAGACAAAGCCATGTGAGTGACAAACGTGGCGTAGAGACTTAGCGCGGTGATTAGTTTTAAAAGAAACTACTACCTAATTTCGGTAGTAATTTTTATTATTTTACTTAAATAACAGTTAATTCGAGTGGATTATCGTCGAATATTAAATAATATTTCGGGTTACTACACCCGAATGTTAAATAATATTATGTGACGACGCATTTAAATAATAAAATTACCACGGAAATAATATGGAGAAAACAGAACTGAAAACTACGCTAAAATGTTATTTGTATCGTCTATGCGACTTGACGAAAGCCATAACTTGTTCTATTTCGTTCGCGACATGGCGATCTCCACTCAAAGGTTTGACAAGAACGAGCAGAGTGGCGTTGTGGTCGGATACTTCAGTTGTGCGACTGGTCTCCTCTTAGTAACACGTAGTAAGAAGAACGTCACACGTCACTAGTAACTAATGTATGTAAATAATAATTTATTTGTTAGTAAAACACTACAAACTATTTTCTTAGCATAATACTAAATTAGTCAATTTGATTTAATTGTAGTGGATGGAGTAGAGCGAAATAATGATTGAGATTCATACAGATATTGAGATGAATAATAATGTCTGCATGGTTGGTAAGGAAGGTTGTTGCGGTGCTATTGGGGACCGCCGCCGCCCGCCGCCGCCCGCCGCCGCCCGCCGCCGGACGCATGCGGAACTTGGGTTCCCGCCCCATTGCCATTCGAATGTTATGGAAAACTACCTGGAACTATTTTATCGAATCTAAGTCGCGTATACTTGTTTTTTTTTGTTTCTCAAACAAACCAACGGCTGGAGATCCGCGACCAGCGCGAAACATGTAAGGAGCTCGAAACTTTGGTTTGTTTGAAAAACCTATGTACGCGATTTCGATCCGAAAAAATTGCTTGATTGGCATTGTTTGGCTATCGCGATCTCTAAGGACTCGATATTCGAATGTTATGTTACGTGTTTGTTTGTTTCATTGATACAAACGCAATCTGCCGCCTCGAACTGGCCGACTTCTATAACAACCTACATTCCGTGTAACCGTTGATGTGATATGAAATTGCCTTATTGTTAATATGAATGAATTAGTTACTTATACACGTAAATACGTGTAAATTAGTAAATCAATTTTATCCAGATTTGTAAATATTTGTATGTCTATTCTGACCAATGAGAATGCGTCAAATTCATTTGTCAGCTTAATCTAGAAGTGTGACATAATCTTATCAGCGATTGGCTTTTTTAAATTATTTTAAAGAATGTTTTCCGTTATAATAGAAATCGTGCATTGTCTTGTCTTGGACGACATTTTTAAGTTAAAGTGTATTTATATTTTTAGGGTTTTCAATAAATTCTTTATAAATTTTGGTACACCTTCGTTTTATTTTCCGCCGATGCGCCAATTTGCTAGTTTCTCTAGGAATACGTTCAAAAGTTTATCTTAAAATCAGAGGTTATCTTAAAGTAAGCTCTAAACCCAAGCAAACCCTGCGTCGCGCAGGTGAAATGCACATTTCAATCAAGTAGGTACGGCGCGTGAGAATCTGTCGTATCGGCCAAGATTATAAAATCAAATTAAATCAAATCAATTTCTTTACTACGTATCATGTTGTACAAAGGTAGTAGTTAAAATGTTGTCATGAACCCTGCAAGCGCGCTGCAATTACTGTTTTATTTATATTTATTATTACATAGGGCGCACTGTAAGTTTCCGGAACTGGCCATTTACATAAACAATATTTAAAAAGTAATTACAACATTTGAAAATGGAACTCTGGCTGTAGAATACAGTTTGTTTCATCTGACTGTCACTTGTTTTTACATTGTGGCGTCATTTTAATAATTGGTTGTCATCACCATGGATTTAACTCGTGAAAATTTTCGTTTCGCTCGACTTCAAACTGCTTTTGGTGATGAAGCACCATGCAAGACCACTATTTATAGCTCATTTGCAGAATTCAAACGCGGTTATGTGAATCTCAGTGACGAATTTCGTTATGGTCGCGCTTCCACTGCCGTGAACAACAAAAACATCGATGCTGTGCGCCGTATGATCAAAACAGCCGGGCATGTGACATACCATGACCATAGGCATGAGTCAAATACAATCAATACTACACAAAGATTTGGGTGTGAAAAAGCTGTGCTCTCGGTGGATCCCACACAATTTGACTGAGGCTCAAAAAACGGATCGCGTCACTTGGTACAATGCCATGCTTACCAGATTCAACGAAGGGGCGTCAAATTTGGTGTGGGACATAGTAACAGGTGACGAAATATGGATTTATAGTTACGATCCCAAAACAAAGCAGTTATCGAACGTGTGGTTCTTTCGAGATGAGCTGAAACCAACCAAAGTGGCGCGCGTGCAAAGTGCCTCTAAGCGGATGATTGATTCTTTTTTTAATAAAACTGGACACGTGGCTACTGTTGCTTTGAAGAATCGTTGTACCGCGAATAGTGATTGGTACACGACCATTTGTTTGCCGGAAGTTATTGACAAACTCCGTAAAAATAACCGTAAAAGCCGTATCATCTTGCACCACGATAATGTCAGTTCTCACACGGCCAGACAGACAAATGAATTTTTGAAGATGAACAATGTTGACCTTATGAGCCATCCCGCGTACAGTCCCGACCTGGCACCTTGTGACTTTTATTTATTTCCAAAAATTAAAAACCAGTTACGCGGTCAACGATTTTCATCACCTGAAGAGGCTGTCGAAGAGTATGAAAAATATGTTTTAGAGATTGTCACGGAGGAGTGGCATAAATGTTTTCAAAATCGGTTCATTCGTATGAAAAAGTGCAATAACGCTAACGGAGAATATTTTGAGAAACAATTAATTAATTTCTGACCATTTATAGCAGGGGTCCCCAAACTTATTTTGTCTACTTGAGAATATATTATTTATTAAATTTTTATTGAACTGATATTCAATTATTTTTTGTGAAATTACTCCACCAGTTTGTTATAATTATTAATACAAAGATCGAACACTCAGAAAAAATTCCTTCGATCCGGTCGGATTCGAACCGACATCTTCTTGTATACCGTGCCAGACGCTATACCAACTAAGCCACGGAACGAACCAACGGACCTCACGAATTTTTCTGTGTGCTTGCGTCGTGTCTTTGTACTTAGTCTTTCAACGACTTTTTAGTCGTAGCGCCATCTATGAGAAATCTATTGTAGATTTGTCACCCAGTTAGTACCTTTACAGCTACCAGTCCTGGCGAGAGATGTCGCTATTCACTGTATTAATTCATTTTTTATTGAATTGATATTCAATTATTTTTTGTGAAATTACTCCACTACTATTTTTTAGCGCCCCCATTTTTTCACCTACTTAAAAACCACTATAACTTCAAATTAAATTAATTATTGTGAGCTATATTAGCGGAGATTAAACATTCATTCTAAACGACACTTTTACTATAACCCGCAAGAGTTAACTTGAGACCTAAGCGCAGTTGGTAGTACACAACGGCGCTCAGGTCTCAAGTTAACTCGTACGGGCTACACCTGCCAATGAGAATGATTATTGAAACGCAACTTTATAGTAGTCAGACAGACTATCTTTTATTCTAATATAAAAACTAATGTGAAGGATGAATCTGATGCTGTTTAATTAGTTTGTTGATATCAGGTTCCAATTTACTCAAGAAGAAGGTTCCATGTTACGAGTGTCTATGAATTAGTGTATGTCTATGAATAACGCAATGTACAGCAAGGACATCTGGAATTTTATTTTTTAAGTATGCTATGAAGCCTTTATGACACCCTGTCATAGCCGGAGCGCCATCCGTAGCAACTGATATAATATATCTCTTTCTCATCACAAAACTTTACCAATGTATTGAATATGGTTTCGCCTTTTGTATCGGTCTCTAAATTGCTAGCAAACAATAGTTCTTCACATATTTTCTCATCTTAAACCTCACGTAAGACAGCAACAATGCTTCATTATTTGGTAAAGTGGACTCATCGTGCTGCATTGAGAATTGACTAGTCCTCAGATGATTGCACAATGATTCTTCAATGTTTTCAGCCATTTCATCAATTCGTCTTTGCACAAAATTATTACTCAAAGTAATTTTTCGGATAATATTTACACTAAAGGAAGTAATAACTACTGTTATATTATTGCTGGCAAAATTAACTCTCCTCCGATATTTTGAGCAATTAACAAAGAGATATTGTACGAACCTCGAAGTCCGTCGTCATCTTGCTTAGCATCCGCCGAAAAGAGATTTGCTACACTTGGCTGAGTATTATGCTTATTCTCTAGGTCTTGAAAATATGCTACATACTTGTCTTTCTTATCTGGATGCATTTTATTAAAATGATCTTGCAATCTTGAATTCTTGCTTCATTCGAAAATGTTTTTAGATATAGAAGGCACAAAGGCGACGATGGGTTTGTGGGATTTTCAATGAATCCGAATTTAATATATTTCGCACAGTATTGCCGTCTCTTCTTTTTTACTTCCGACATTGTTTTGTTGTGAGATATACGTAAGTGTTGAACTTAAGTACTGATTATCTATTACGCGCGAAACCGCAAATGAAAATAAAAGAAATATTGGATTGCATAAGCAGCATGCACCGACAGGAATAAGACAAACATGCATAAGCTCGTTTATCTCATTCGACGCTCAATCGTACTCAACAAGTAAGAACAAGTACTCTATGAACCACCCGATTGATACAGGAATTCACAAATCGGGTTATTTAACAAAAACTTGTTAAAACATGATTGCCCGCGGTCTATTATCTACGAAAATTACCTATCTAGGAATACTAATAACTATTAATATGCGAAACTGTGTCTGTTGCCTTTTTATTTGTTTGTTTGTGTCTACTTTCATTTCGAAACGGAGCGACCGATTGACGTGATTTTTATTTTATTTATTCAATAAACAGGACAGATGTATGAATTACATGGAGAGAAATATCGAACCGAGTCAGTTTGAGCAATCTCTTAATTAATATTAGTTGATGTTCACAAGTTGTAGTCGAGAGTCGAGAGCTCAGTCGGTGTCTAAGAGTCTTCCTAGATGAAATTACAAATCTCCCCCTAAGCCTCTACACAACGCCCCCATTTTTTTCTGGGTCTCTTACTTTAGGCCTGCAGCGCCCACAAGGGGGCGTTATCGCCCACTTTGGGAATGGCTGATTTATAGTATATTTTTTTCTTATTCATTCCGGAAACTTATAGTGCGCCCCATGTATACATTAAATTTATATATTTGCAAGCAAAAAGTAAATAAAATTGATCCATATTAAATTATAAATAAAATTAAATTACAAATTAATTAAATACAACATAACAAGGCAAATTTAATAAATTATGAAATTAAAATTTAGGCATTAGTCATCGGATCGGGATTAGCATTCGTTGTTTCCAGTCGATTGCATCATTTGTTTATGTGGCCTTTAGATACCTACTAGGAATTGTAATTATAACGATACCTACTTGTAAGTAGTATTTCTATATTACGAAGAAACAATTGGTAACGATGCGACGACGTCGTCGCCTGTGACGAGCGGCCGCGGGGAGCAGTTATCGGTTAATAGGGTGTCGCAAGGGCTATTGTCCAAGGCGCACAATGCGGCGAATGAGGCGGAATCCAACAAAAGTCATATTGGACACAATA